GCTTCTGTTTCATGGGGCCTGTAAGGGAGAGTGGACTTCCTAGAGATGTGCTTCTGTTTCATGGGGCCTGTAAGGGAGAGTGGACTTCCTAGAGATGTGCTTCTGTTTCATGGGGCCTGTAAGGGAGAGTGGACTTCCTAGAGACGTGCTTCTGTGTCATGGTGGCGGACGGCGACATCTCACTGCTTGTTATATAAAGTTTAATTTTTTCCTTCACACAGACTCCTAATGTCAGATTATCCTCCCCAACAGGGACTATTTCACCGATGCAGATTAATGTGTAGGAGGGAACCTACCCGCGTATATTACTGAGACATCCAGGTGAATCCGAGAAGACTCACGCAACTGAGCCTTTGCTGAACTTTTTCCTAAGTGTTATGGACACTTTAAAGCGTTACGCACATCTGACGGCAGTAATATTGGCCACTGGCAATTAATCCTCCTTTATTCTGCTATTGTGCCAAAGTTAAGGTCCCGATGGTTTTTTTCCCTAAACTGACAGAGTAGGGTTATCTCTTCCTCTTGCATGGCCTCAGACAAACGACAAAGCGGGGGGAAAGAAAGAGAGAAAAGGAGGATATGGCGAGAAAGCATCTCCAAATGACGCTGCGGCAGGGCAGTGAGCCACCCACGGAAATGAAGCGTTTGATTCTCAATTTCATACTTTGCTATACAATCAATTCTTTTTAGGCAGACTGTCCCCAGATTTACATCTGTGGCATAGTAAAATGAAGAAGCTCTCATTAATCTTTCAGATGCCTCGTATTAATGACAAGGCTCTCGCATGAACAATGTAACAGCAATTAAAAAGTCCATTAATCTGTATTACAGCTATTAAAGATGCATGTCATTAAAGGGTATCAAGTCTGATTCATTTTCAACCCCCCCACCACCCACCCTCTTACCAACTCATACAGCCTCCCTCCACCCCTTCCGAAAAAATAGGAGCAATTACACGCTGGCAATGCATTTTGTCATGAGATTAGTTTGGAGTTTTGTGGTGGAATGGCCCCGCACTGATTCTAGCCCCTCTCCAGTTTTATTATCCTCCACGTGAGTCGGGACCCCCGCTGCACCCGGTGACTTTACCCTCCTGTGGAGTGCTGATGTTCCAGCCCCCGCTGGCGCTCTCTGCGCAGCCGGCCCGGGTACACGCCGTGACAGTGACTGTGTAGCTGGTGAAAGGAGCCAGACCACTCAGGGTCCCTGTCGGTGGGGGGAAGAGAGGACGCCCCGTCATCGCTTTCTTTACTGAACCTCTGCCACTTGAATGAGATTTAAGCCCAGATTTAAGAGCCAATGGCCTTTTCAAACACAACAATACTTACTTATTTCATAAAGGTTAATGCTTTTGCAAGCACAGTTCTCTGAAAGGTCCATTTTGTCTCCCTTTTCCAGATCTGTGGACCTTCTATTTGTTACTGTATTAACACTAAGCAAGTTCTGCTCAGTACTGAACACAGTGGTATAGAAAGGTGGTAATTGGTGGTATTAATATAAAATAAACCCATCCATCTATTCGCCCATTCATCCATCTTCCAAATCAGTGTTTCTCATTCCGGTCCTCAGGGACCCCCTGGTTTTTGTTTTTGCTCCCTCCCAGCTCCCTGCCAGACAGTGCACATTTTTGCTCCCTCCCAGGTCCCTGCCAGACAGTGCACATTTTTGCTCCCTCCCAGCTCCCTGCCAGACAGTGCACATTTTTGGCCCCTCCCAGCTCCCTGCCAGACAGTGCACATTTTTGCTACCTCCCAGCTCCCTGCCAGACAGTGCACATTTTTGCTACCTCCCAGCTCCCTGCCAGACAGTGCACATTTTTGGCCTCTCCCAGCTCCCAGGAGCAAAAATGTCTGGGGGTCCCTGTGGACCAGTTTGAGAAACACTGTTCTAAATCCTTATTCAGTACTGTGTCGTGAAGGGTGGGGGCTGAAGCCGACCCCACCCCCCGACATGGACACACCCTGAACCAAGTGAGAGTCCATCACAAGGCACCAAGACCTAACTTATGCAAGGGCAAACCTGGGCTATAGCGTAGGACCCAGAGTTGTAAAATTTTTGTGAAAATTGATTGTCACAACAGCATTTTATGCTGTAGGTAGGACACCGACAATGACTTTGGACCCACCCCCCCCAAATTAGGCCTTGCAAGGCACACACACAAACGCAGCAGGGGGAGGAAATGGCCAATCCCCCCAACCGGGTGGTGCAACAGAATGGTACTATGTGGCACTGCGCTGCCCCAAAAGTAAGGCCGCGTTGTGCAGGGTGCGATTAGGTGTCACCTGATATGACACGATAAAACCTGACAGGAAGAGCAGCCTCTCCGAGGACCTGTGGCAGAGAAAACAGTCCTTTCCTCTCTCACTTATCGGCCCGACTTCCAGCATCAATTTCCTGCCACAACCTGTGATATCCCACATAAATAACACGTTATTAATAGCCTGGGCCGTAAATTAAAACAAGAGGGCCTCCGAATGCATGGCAGGTTTTAATTCATTTTTACAGTTAAAACAATAAAAAAAGAAAAACAGGATTTATTTATTAATTTACCATCCAAAAATAAAAGCCGACCCTTTAAACAGCAGCATTCTGAGTGGGTCTCTGGCCACCTTCCACAGTAATCTACTCTCCTTCGTTATGCTAATTGGTGGGCGGGTCTGTCGCCGGCAGCTGCGAGTGGCTGCGGCGGCAGGAAGGTAAACACTGCGGCCGGCCTGTAATTGGCCAGGTGTCTGCGTCTCTTTAATTCAATTAGAGCCCAACCTACTCCACTCTCATTACCCGCTCATTTGTTTTCTTGGGTTTTTTTGCCCTCTTTTTCCTTTTTTTCCCTGTTTATCGCTAGCAGCGTAATTCTGCATTCAGCATCAAGACGGACGTGAGTTAGGAGACTCATTGTCATTCCGCTTAACTGGTGTGGAGAAAGAGTGATATTCACACTTCTGAGAGGTAATGCTGTCCATTTAAAATGTGAAGAACTACATGGGGCTAATTGTGCGAAGGGAAAATCAAGCATTTGGGTTTGTTAACAGTTATTTTGTGGTTTATGTTTTTATGCAACATCCACCCGTCCGTAAGTGCTTATCCTGTACAGGGTTGTGGGTCTATCCCAGAAAGCAGCAGACACAAGGCAGGGGACACTCTGGATGTAACAAAGATGTCTTTCATGCAACGGGTGCTGGAACCTTAACATGCCAGGTGATATAATTTATACCAGGAAGTAAACAACTTGATGTTTCTCTCGAAAAACAAACAAAAAGGAATTACTTGGAATAAGGGGTGGCATGGCGGTGCAGTAGTTAGCACTGTTGCCTCACACCTCTGGGACCCGGGTTTGAGTCTCCACCATGGCTCCATGTGTGTGGAGTTTGCATGTTCTCCCCATGTTGTTGAGGGGTTTCCTCTGGTTACTCCTAGTTTCTTCTCATAGTCCAAAAACACACTAAGGTGAACTGGAGTTAAGAAATTGTGTGTGTTGGCCTAGAGATGGATTGTTCCCTGCCTTGTGCTCATAGCCTCCAGAATAGGCTCTGGACCCCCAGCAACCCCGAATAGAACATGGGGTCTCCTTCCTGTTTTAAGTTTCCCATAAATCAGAGGCATTGTGGGCCACGCTACAAAGAATTAATACACACTTTTGGCCATACTGATACAATTATGGGAGAGATTATGGGCATTTAATTTAATGTCAGTTAACACAAACATTAAGTCACAGATATGGGTTTAGATTTTCTCCCAGAGAAGCACAGGTGACAGACTCAAACCCGGAGGAGAAGCTGTCATATTTCCCGATGTCTGTCTGTCTTCCTGCTACACTATAGCTGGGAAGCTGTATGTTATTCCAAAATGTATCCGAAAAGGAAAAATAGGCTGAATATTGGACAGCAGGTGACATAGACACACACCTCCAGACTTACCCACAGGAGTGATTTTGGTTTGTTCTGCCAACCCCCACCTCCCCCCACCTTCCCGGCTTGCGGGCACGTGTGTGGGCGGGGCGAGCGGGATGGCCCTTACCAGCCCGGCGCTCGGCGTGCGGGAAGGCGGCGCTGACGGGGGCCGCCATGGGATCGTCCCGATTGTACGCTTTCACGATGTACTTCTCAATTACACCCCTGACCTCGGTGGGCTCGTCCCAGCTCACCTCGGCGCTGTAACCATTTACACAGACAACTCTAGAGGGAGGCAGCATACTTTGCGGAGCTGTGCGGGGGTGATATGGGGGGGGGTGAGAGAGAGAGAGAGAAAGAGAGAGAGGGAGTGTGTCAGGCAAAGAAAAGCAGCACACATATTCTTCACTTTTAATAGACATAGTAAATCATATCTAACCATTAGCATAAATACAATTTATTAGAGTTGTAACTTTTTCAACTCTGATTTAATATGACTGTACATCTTCTACCGTTCATTCCCAGCCATATTTCAAATCGATCAAGCATTCGGCTTCTTTCTCGCCCTGTTCATCCATATTAACCACATTAATTATGGTTTCGCATTCATGCTGAGACGCTCTGCTCTCTTTTCAACTCGCCTGTGTTACGTAACCGGAAATTGACACTTTGGTTGGGATTTCTGTATTTTTGAAAAAGTAAACATTTCAAAATTTATAATTTAGTGGATGTGAAAATCTGTAAAACACACTGAAATTCCACAGCCCAAAATCCTTATTTTGTTTATTACGCATCACCGGGTTGTTATGGGCAAAGTCAACAACAGCAGAAGTTAGTCAAGTCAGCAGTAGTAAAAATAGAGAAATATTATATTCAGAATTACTTTTTAATATACAGCTGCAAGCAGCAGTTAATGGCTTATTTGCCAGCTTCCACTCTAAACCAAACCTTTTCACCTAACTGCAAGTCTCTGGAAAGCAGAAGCAAACCTGCACAAATAGTTAAGGGGTGCAGTAAACATCCATCCATCCATCCAACCTCCATCATGCTAGTCAAGGATCTGGAAGGGGGCCGTGGGGTACACACTGGATGGGACAGTCCATCACAGGAGACAAACTTAGAGGAGCCAGTCGGCCAAACTGCATGTCTAAGGATTGTGGGAGAAGTACAGGCAAACTGCAAATACAAACACAGACAAACCACTGCCAGTTAAAATCCGCAGATGACGTACAAACACATACAAACGATTGCTCCCGCTGTACAATCTCTGCCTCTTTTAATTATTCATGGGCAGACAATGACATGTAGAAAGGTCCCCCCATTCCACCCACCCCCTGCAGAAGGGGTTTTCCTTCAGGCCGCCACCTCATTCATCTCTGCGGCCCCATTCATAATAAGCACCGGCTCCCAATGCCGGCATCACCGTGAGGGACGTGATAAGCTATCGCCGGCCACCATCTCGTCTTGTTGACTGTTACATATATTGTACAGATAAGAGCAAAATGGGCTGGCTCAGAACAATGACATAAACAAATAGGGCTGCCCCTGTTGCCATGCCATCGCCGTTGCCATGCCACCCGTTACCATGCCGCACTGCCCCTTCCCTCTTAGTCCCGCCTACCTGCCTCCAGACTACGGCCTCGCTCCCACGACCCGGACGTCCAGCCTCCCTCCCCCAGCGCCAGCACCCTGTACAGATATTCTGGGGAGGGAAAAACAAAGTTTTATTAATACTGTACATGTATTTATTCACATATAGACACCTGTTACATGTAAAATACACAGGGCTGCAGAGACATGGCTGAAAAAAGTCTACTGAATGGGCCAACCCCCTTCTCCAAACCCAGGCCACACACTCAGGGCCGCCACCTTCATGTCTGGCCGCCACCTTCATGTCTGGCCCCCACCTTCATGTCTGCCCCCCTGAAAGTCTTCCCCTTTCTCGCCTCCTTATGGCAGCCCTGAACATACACTAACATTTGCTATCTAATCGAATAGCCACATTGCCACAAACATCGCTGCCTAGTTTATGAGTCTTGGTTCTGTACCAGATGTGTTCGACACAAGTCACATGACTGTCATGTGATGCGACCGTCATGTGAAGCCTGGCAGCTCAGGTGTGACAGCTCCTAGCTGGAATCCAGTGATCTGCTAGCTATTCCTGACCTGCTCTGTAGCGCCCCCCAATGACGGTGCGAGGAGCTACCTGTGAAGGGCTGCACCGTGTGGTCCTCTGCCCGCCTCTCGCTGCCTGTGTACGCCAGGATGGAGTCGTTTCCCCTGCAGTTAACCGCCGTGTCGGCTGACGGGCATCCGTCCAGATTGACTCTGACAGCGCGGCTGGAGGCGGCGGCCAGGTCCACGACAGCCCCGCGCGCGAGCCGCACGGCCCGGATACAGCCGCCGAAACCTGCACAGCGCCCACAGCACGGGTGGCGTGTCAACCGTCTGGGGCATCGTGTGATCGCCCCGAGCAGTGCCCCGTCATCCCAGAGAGGGGGGAGAGCCGGCCCCCCCATGGAACTCCGGGACCTGGGACCAGCTCACACCAGAAAAACCCACAAACTGCTTAATGTGATTCTTCACATCTTATTTTTTAATTCCCCATCTTTGCGCACGATTTTCATTTCCATATCTTAGCACAAAAATGTATGGACCGATGAGAATGACACAGAGTTTTCTCCTTTATGTTTGATACACAAAGCAAAAATAAAATATTAATCATTTTATACACCAATAATAATATTTACCAATTAAAGCCATAAAGGATGAAAAACAATAGAATGCAAATATATAGTGTCTGAATTCAATGCATAACAGAAATTCCAAAACATGAATTTGACTGAATATTTGGAGAGTAGATGAGCCAAGTGACTGAACAGCACACTACCATGCAGGAGGCCGAGGTGGGGGGGGGCCTTGCTGCTCGCGTCCTCCGGGACACCCCCGAGGTACAGGGTGGAGCTGACCCTGAGGGGCCCCTCGGCGGCAGCCCCGGGCCGCTCTTCGGACAACTCGTTCATGGAGGCCGACACCCAGGCGCCCCTCTTGAGCAAAGTGACGCTATTCCAGCTACCGTCGCAGTAAGACAGGCCTGCCCACAGGTGAAGCTGGGTCTCCCGCCCACCCCAGCGCAGCGTCCACTGGAGGCTTCCGTCCTGCAGCTCGGCCTGTATGCGGGTCAGACAGCATGGCTGCTAACCGGATCTCTGCACTGGCCCATTTCTACATCACTGGCACACAGCTTATCAATAGCTAAATAATTAACGATTAAACAATCAAATAAAAGATTATGAGTATATGTAACAGCTGATAAATATGAATAATACTCTTATTTCATGCTGCCCTATTGAACATGTTATGAACAAGAGATCAATAGACAGACAGATAAAGAGATTGATAGACAGACGGTGTGTTACCAGTATATAGTCATCCCCCTCTGTGTCACTTGCAAACAGCAGCAGTGCATTCAGCTGGTCCGTCTTGAACTCAAAAGAAACCTCAAAACTGTCTCCTGCTGAGAACATGGAAGGCCTCAGCTCCAGAAAACCTGGGGGGACAGAAGGGTTCAGCATAAACACCCTTAAGAGGAGCCGTGCACTCCTCGGGACACTAGAAGGGGTCGATACGCACGCGGTTCACAGACGGGGATTTCAGAGAAGACAGCTGAAGATAGCTGCAGATTTGGGTCCTCACCTTGCCCCAGAAAGTGTGCACCCTCCTCCGTGTGGACAGGACAGCCCTCCCAGCTCTGGTAGGTCTGCATGCTCTCCAGTGCCGTGCCCCAGGCCAGCGGCTGCCACACCTCTGAGGGGCTGTCGCTCGTCTTTATCAGCACGTCCCTCAGGCAGCCCGAGAAGCCCTGCCGCACTAGCCGCCCGTCCCCTGGCACACGGCAGCATCAGATATGTCATCGTCCTGTGGCTGCCAGCCTGTCCCCACCGTGTCTAACAGGCCGACTGGGCCAGGCACAGGTGAGGGTGCCACGGTCATCTGTTCATTAACCTCTTATCCAACAGCAAAGGTTCTCCATGAGCCAAGGAAGCACAGGAGACCCTGAAAATGACACATGCAACCCACCCCCCCCAACACACGCAGCTCATATATTCCAGTCATTGGAGGGACCCTCCATTAATTTCTATGGGCATAACCATAATCTTTTCCCAGCCCAAATCTTAACCATACGTAACCAAACAAAATACCAGACGTGACTTTTATTCTTTTGATTTTATTCACAGATTTTTTATAAAATTGAGGTTTCAATTATGGGGACCTGAAAAATGTTCTCATAAGTTGAGAAGTTGACATTTGGTCTCCACAATGTAGTACATACAAACCCTCCCCCACGATGTGGTAAATACACACACACACACAGGTTTATAATCATATCTTTGTGGGGACTCTCCAATCATTGCTATGGTGAAAACTCTAATCCCAGCATGACAACCTTAACCCCTACCCACCCCTAACCTTAATCACAAGTAACCAAACAATATATGAGACTTTTGGCATTTTTAGTTTTTTGACTGCGTTCACAGATCTTTGTGGGGACCTGAAAAATAGTCCCCACAATGTCAAAACAACAGGTCTGTATTACATTGTGGGGAACAATCAACTCACACCGTAGGACAGTCCACTCCTTGGGGACCACCAGGCAGACCAGTTTCACTCCCTCCCAGCCAACGGCACCGTAGGGGCATGGATACCCTAGCAGATTCAGAGAGCCCAGCACTTCACATATAGTTATAAAACACAAAGTTATAAAATGATATGATGGTGATTATTTGTCAGGGGGCCCAGAATTTCAGGGTATGCCCCTGCTCCAAGCTCCCTGCACACTAGTACTAGCTATTCTGTTTTTGGTAGCTTGGTACAGGTGTGCTGGGGGCTGGAAAAGAGCGAAAATGTGGGCTGCTGTGGGTCCCCAAGGACTGGAGTGAGAAACCCTGCCCTAGCAGATGTTAGGACAGAGCTCTACTGACCGAACCCCCCCTGCGCAATCAATGCTTGACATCAAGAGGCCATGTTTGTTCCCAAATGCCGTTGAATGGGCTATTACAGCTTGCCACACAGAGAGGAGTGGACAGTTATGCTCTTCCCCCACATGATATATATTAATGTCAATTACCTGCATCTTCCCTGAGAAGAATAAACGTTTCAGGAAGTCCACCGATAAAGACCCCCGTGTTCTCCCCAATAATGGTGCGGCCACTTGTGGCTGAGGAAGACCCTAATTTGTTACAAAAAGAGAACAACCCCGATTAGCATGTTTGTCATTCACCCGCTGATTAGTCAGGTCACATAAGAGGAGATGTTCATAGCAGCGGCTGAAACAGAATCTTTCATGTCAAGTGTATGACGGGGTGTAATAAAATCTCGGAAGGATTAAAACAATAAGACGCGCGATGACAGTGCCGCTGATCAGGCACACCGGCACGCGGTTTATCGAGACACTTCAAAGTGCGTGAGAAAAGACTAGACCGCCTGGATCCCAGGAGGAAAAGACCTGCTCAGTTAATTGAAATGCAAGTTCAGGAGACGAGATGCTTCTAAGCCTAATTATTCCAATCACACAACGAATGACAAAGATTAACCTTGATAATTCCTTTCCTCGGAATGTGCGGAAGCCGGGGTTTAGGGATATTGACAGAACAGAAAGAGTCTGAGGTCGGCCTGTGAATATGATAACCGCATGGGAGCCGTGGCGACTGTTACCCCGGTACTGGCCATCCACGGTGATCGTTCCCACGGCCTGCGTTCTCGTAGCGATCACATGGTGCCACTGGCCGTCATTATAGCGCCTCCCCCCGTCATCCTCAGGGCTGACCGCCGTGGCGGAGGCCTAGAAACCAAGGAAATTACAGCATAGCATGCTGGGATTAGGAATTCATAACACAGAGATGACATAGGGGTGACATATCAGGCTGAACCAATCAGGACATAACTCTAAGCAAGAGTCATCAGTCCATCTCGCTGAAAGGTCTGAATTATTTGTAAAAAGAGGACAGGTGAGAACATGAACAGAACAAAAACACTATTAAACCAGGCCCTATAAAAACCATCAACACAATACGGCAAGAGCATCAGTTCTGGAGATATGGTCACGGGATTAAGTGGTACACCCACCTAGGTGGGAGAGTCCCGTACTGGGAGCTCTCTCGCCCCATTTAGTCCGACACATTCTGACATATCCAGCACAAGCTGGAAATCCAGAAAATGAATCAACAAACACACACCAATGCCGTGCGAGGCGATGCGAAGTACGCACTAGGAACAGAGGGGAAACAGCCCTGGCACAGTAAAACGACACAGGCACCAGGTTTCAACCTCTGAAAGGATTCATCAAAAGGTCCCCTTAGAACACACCTCACTCCTGCTGCAATCCCAAAAAGGTTTCCAGCACAGCGCCATCTGCTCATATTTCCTTTTTAATGCCAAGTCACTCTAATTATTCTAAGCAGGAGTCGGCTTAATACGACACGGCAGCGCAGGCCAAAGACCTTTTTCCGCCTCTTTCTTTCTTCTTTTTGATAAATATTCCCCCAAGAACCGTGTTTGCCTTTAATGTAATAGCAGGCACCAGAATGTGGGCAGGCAGAGAGGAGTGCACAAAGGCGCTCCTGTTTTCTGGGCGAGAGGCGCGATGGAAAACGCCTGGTTCCACTTTCAGGTGGCTAGATAAATGGCACTCGGGTGCGAAGTGTGATGGCAAACGCCACGCCATCACTTCTGACACTGTCTTTGGGGAAATCCAATCTGTGATGTGTGCAGAAGGACAGCCTTGGGTGTAAGGGTGTGTCGAGGGCGTTATGGCCAGCAAACATGAACGCGCTTCAGCTGGAAAGTCTCAAGCGAAGAGGAGGCAAATTCACACAAACACATGAACTTACACAGACGAAGGTTTAAAGCCTGCAGAGCCAAGGGCAGCACTACTGAATATTCGGTGGGGTTTAATAAGGAGGCTGAGTATCGGAGCGTGCCGGATACTATTAACTTCAGTAGTGATTTTCCGATTCTTGAAATTATATGGATATTTAATAAGAATAAAATAAATCTGTTTTTATGCAATTAATCAATCGACAATTCATTAAGCTTGAAGTTTGGTACACCAGGACTTACATTCTGACATGGTTATTTGAGAAGGTATAAAAACTTAATATATAATTATAAAATCACATTTCTTAGTAAAATCAGCACAGTTATATGTGGCCATATAGTGTGCAGATTTAAAATCAATACAACAAAAATACTAAATGCTGTAAAAAAGCAGACTCGTATACAGAACAGTGGTCAATTAATGAAATTTACCAGAAATTATGAGTATATTTATTAGAGCAACAAACATATTTCTGTATCTGAAACATCCATAATTTCCTGTTCCATTTTTTCCATTTGCTGGCAAAATTAACATGCATGCAAGAAAATAAAAGACTGTCATTAATTATCAGTCAGTGTTTCTCTGTGCGCTGTCCGTGGTGCTGAAGTTCACTGGCTTCACTCCTAGACTGACCAGCAGCACAGAGAGCACGGGGACTGCAACATCAGCTGTGACAGCCTTTACGGTGAACACACAATCTTCCAGAAGACGGCTTTTAATAAAAAGCTCATTAATTCCATCATTAGAGAGTGTGTGTGCGGACACACGCGTGTTTCCTGTGTCACGGCCAATTAGCATCCCACGGTAGTAATCCCATTAGAATTGCTGAAATCGCTAATGGGGGGGAGGGGGGGTAATGGCTATGTTACCGGGGGACATTAATTGGCCATGATTACACTTTTGGTTTTAATTATCAAACTATCCTAACAAAATGTTTTCGCAAACGTGAAAATCGTTGAGTCTGGCGAAGACTTGCTGGCTGGCCAATCGAGAGGACGGACTTGGGAAAATGGCTTTAGTTCCGTTATTTCATCTTCAAAGCAATCTACTCACCCTTCCATGTTAATGTGCTGATGTGTCTTAATTAGCATGTTATTGGTATTCCTGGAATATCTGTGGGTAACAAGTTAATTGGTGCCCAAATCAAACATTGCCATACTTTGAAAGTTTCGATAAAGAAAGGAAGCCACTGTAAGACTGGGATATATAAGCTTTGCTGTTGAAATGAACTACTTTTTTGTGTTATACTTCATTATTCTATTTTAAACAAAGCATTAATCACGAAGGAAAGAAACATACAGGTCATAAATTACGATCATGGTGTTTTTGGGTGGATATTATTTTATTTTTTAAGCTTGCATAGAAGACACCTAGTTATATCTTTACTACAAAGTGTACTCTCGCCTTAAGTGCTCCTCTTTAGTGGATTTTCTCAGTAAAAAAAAAAAAAAAAAGCAGACAGAAGTGTTTTGAAAAGTCATGCTACGTCTTACCGGCTCCCACATATCAGTTAAACAAAGATTTAAAGATACATTTAAAGCTGCACAAAGTAATATGGAACATTAAACAGCATTCGGATAAAACAAATAAAAACATCAGATATCCATTCATCTATTCTCTATACTTGCTTATCCTGTGCAGGGTTGCGGGGGTCCGCAGCCGATCTTGGAAGAAGATATGGGAACAAGGCAGGGAATAACCCAGGATGTGGCGCCCACCCATCGCAGAGCACACACCCCCCCAAAACCACTTCTTTTTTTCAAATTTAATTTGATTGAATAAGTTAAAAAGGGTTTTACATCGCAAACACAAAATGACATCTTTGTTAGTGAAGATAAAATACCTATATACCTGTGGATCAAAGAGGAAGAATGGGCGGCCATTGCGGATCTGCAAGGCTACATACTCGTCCTGGTCGCCGGGTGAAAGCGCACATAGGATGAGACCTTCTTCCGCTCGCGTGCGGAAACTCAGCTGGATGCCTGGATGAAGACAACAGCAGTGTTAACTTTCAGTTTCACATGCTCCTACAAGCTTGTCTTAGAGAGTCCTCAGCCCTATTCTGCGCTTGCGTAAAAAATCATTTGCTAAGTGAAAACTAGCGCTGCAGCAACCTCCGTCTCATCCTCGCAGCAGACGCCTACCCCAGAATCCTGTCACTGCCTCAGCCTTTAAAGATTTTAAGAGAAACAAAAGCCCAGGACAAAAAGGAACACGAACATTTCTCTACTTCTGCTGCTATCATATTAACATTACAAACAGTTTGCCAAAGCGTACAACCTACGGATTACAGGATAACCTGAGAGAACACAGGCCAGGTGTATTACGTATGATGTCAGTTCCTCTCCCGGGCCACATTCCTGCTCATCACTGCTGGGGTAACGTTATCCCAGCGATGCCCGCCTTTAAACCGGAGCTCTTCCTTACATCCCCTTAAAGCTATTTTTTCAGTAAGCCCCCCGTGTATGCCCTCGAGTTCCACTTAAAAAAAAAAAAACAACTTTGAAGTAATACCCGTGCTTCAGCTTTATTTATTCCGTTAAATATCTTGAACACTCCAATTAAATCTCCGCTCAAGTGCTGACTACTCGGGTTAGAGAGATCCCGTCCTTTTAATCTCTCATCGTAAAGCAAGCCTTTTAAACCAGATATAAGACCGGTTGACCTTCTCTGAGCTGTCTGTAAGGCATCCTCATCCCCTTTTTGTGCTCCAGAATCCAAAATCCCGTATGCTACCTGAATTTTGATCCGGAACGTCTGAACGCTCAATACCCCATAGCTCGCGTGGGAAGCGGCCATGTGTATTTGTATTAAAACAGGATTTGGCGTGAAAGTCATACAACTGTCTCCACTGCAGCTCGATGTGTAAGTAAATATCACAAGAATAAATGTTTATTTTTGTCAAATCTCTAGCATTTTATTGAGTGATCAAGACACACATTTTACAGGGGGGAATACACTGACATTTCCTCTATTAAAAGCTCTATCCCATCTCTGAATTTAAATAAAGTAGGTAACATATCGATTCTCTTTGTGCCATTTATAAATTGACATTGATTAAGCATTCCCTAATGGTGCGAGAGAATGTTTAATTCAACACGCACGCACTTAGGAAGGGTGCTGCCGTTGTACCCTCGAGGTAAGCAATTGCTTACAAAAATACTCTATACTTGCAGCTGAGCTGGGAAACTGAAATGGAAACTGCTCTGATAAGGAAAATGTATCAAGTAAGTAAATAACTGGGATCCAGCTCATTGCTTGACATGTTTATTCCTCCTTCTTAAGAACACAAAAACATAGTAAAGGCAGCACTTTCAGCTTGCAAGCAATGCCTGGACAACATAAAATTTAGAAAAAATATTTTAATGTTACTTTTAGTACTTGCTACCACAAAAAAAATACATATTTAAAAAATATACACACACACACACACACACACTTTACAATTTCCAGCTTGAAGTGGGACAGTAAGTCACGTTGTTCATGACCTTTCTGTGAGGTCAAACATCAGCAGGCCAATGGTGCAGCAGCAATCCTATTGAGTATCCTTTATATTTGAATCCCATGAACCAATTTAAGCACATTTCTTATTTTTATGGCAATTCCTTTTGTATTGGGGCTTTCAGTGTATTGTGATGCAAATACTTCATTCATATTCTACTTCAAGAGGCTTGCTCCATATGGCTGGAGTTAAAGAGAATGCATCTGTCCCGAGATGTCTGCAGTCCCAAGAAAGGGGTGCAGGGATGGTTAATTTCAGCTCGAGCAAAACATGCCCTCAGGTGATCAACAGTGACAACACTGACAAGTGATTCATATCAGTGAGGTATTTTGAGGCAATGCATTTGACGGATTGGAGAACAGCAAAGACCAGCGGTGAGTGGCAGGTGTCCTCATGTACTCTTCAACCGCCAAGCAATGCAACAAGTTCTCTGATTGGTCCTGAACCAGATTGGAGAAGGAGCAAAGACCAGCGGTGAGTGGCAGGTGTCCTCATGTACTCTTCAACCGCCAAGCAATGCAACAAGTTCTCTGATTGGTCCTGAGCCAGCGGTTTGTGTCAATAAATATAAAATCCCAGATTTTGTTGTAAATTTTTGAGATTTACAAATATTATGGAGTGATTGTTGTACTTGCCAAATCGGACATGTCCTTCATCAAAGACTATTCTGGAATTCAGTTGGCAACACAATTTTCATTAAGTGAAGATAAATTCGCAAAATCTATATATGGTAATAAGACGCAGTCAGTGACAAAGTACTGGGTTTTCATGAAGGAAAACAGTCTTAGGTTCCTAAGATGTTGCAAGATATTGCTGGTTACATTTTTAAATAAAATAAGACTGAATTTTCAAATTATGTTACTTTATCAATTAGTGAATCTCATTGCACAAAATTAAAGTTTGTTGCTCATATGAGTAATAGAAAATTGAGCAATTCATAATATAGAACAGCTGGCCTTTCAGTAGCATAGGGTAGTAATGTTGTTTATATTAAGCGAATACATTTGCATGTACCCTCGAGGGTTGGAGTCAAACACTATTAATGCATGTGCTGTAACTGTGACTTAATGGTTTCAAATAATGTGGATATAACCTCTGGAAAATGACAAACCATTAATATCTTACAAAAAAGCAACTAAAGACCGAACTGTCTTCAGAAAATCAAATAATATGTCTAATATAGCTAACGCAAATTAATTATCCATCACTGTGAAATATAATTATTTCAATTTACTCTCATATATATTGCGCTCAGTGTGGCAGTATTTAGTTTCCTTGAAGACAGGGTGATTACTGAGTATGCTCCACACACAAACAATCAGGTTCCGTACACACTACATACAGCCATGCAGGACAGACAGCGCCAACTGGAGGACAAAACTGTAATGGCCGGCATCTGGCACCCAAAAGGTTTTTGTTGGGTCTAAAAAGGAAGCCTTTCTGGACACCTTGACCACCCAATATCCAGGTAGAAATGTATTCTCTGTGCGTAGGCATAATAAAAATGGTCATAATAAAATAATATTACATGAAGCCCTAACAAGCACCTACCCTAGAAGGTTTTCAAATTTTTAATCAACATTTCTTTAGAGGAATGATTAACTGGGAACAAGACAAACACTCCTATTTCTTTATCACTTTCTAGACAAATAACACTAAGAAGCTGTCTGACTCTGTTAAGACAAATTTTCGTTTTTATTTATTCTGCGTTAGGATATTATACCCACCATAAGCAAAACAAACAGGACAGTTTGGCTATAATCTGCTTAGTACATAACCTGAATAACTTCAGTCATGTTAGCATTATTGCCGCATTAATCAAGCTGTTGCGTATTAATGAGTTTTCAGCAAGTGCTAATTACTGTCATAGATTCTGTAGCACCCCATTAAATATACAAATTACAGAATTAAAGAGCCAGCGCTCTTCATGATTAATCTTTAAATGGGGAAAAACTAATGGTGTCTGTACAAAGTTTTCCTCTACTTTCCACTGACTGAAGCGGTTTGACAATCAATCATATTAATTAAGGAAAATAATTTGTATCATTTAACATTTCTTACTACAATAGCAGGCAGGGCTGGAAGCTTCTCTGCTGGGTTTCAGTTTTTTTCTCTTAATTCAAGTAATTGCAGAGAAGGAAAATGTCTTGTCAGCTTCAGACTGCCATGCTAACATCTTTACATGGTCTATAGCATGTATGTATGCACGAGAAAAATCTCTTCAAAACGAGACAAAAAATATATGACATGGTAAAAAATTTATGGCCTAATCATCTTTTGGTTCTCCAGAGATAACTGGTGTGACACACATTTAAGTTCTTCTACTCATTCAAACAATTGAAGAATATCAATCGACCAGTCGATTATCGCAGTCATATTGCAAGAGGGCTTGGAGCCAATCCCAGTCAGTACAAAGCACAAGGAAAATCCCCCTTGATAGGATGCCACTCCATCTCAAAGCACACAATCACACATTGTGGGCAATTCAGAACCATCAATTCTCCTGTTGCGTGCCTTTGGAGTCTGGAAGGAACAGAGGGAGAATATGCACACGCAGCCACCACAATATACAGCGCATGTATTATATAAGTGATGTCAATCTGTTTTACTGTTAATGTTTGTTATGCTGCATTACCATCACCACTGTACACCTAACAAAATGCAACAATCTGATCTTGTCAGAATAACAGCACAATTTGAGCTTTAAAGTCCAAAGTATTTGATTTCAGTATTTGAGGTCACAAGATTCAAACTACTATAAGCCCAAGAATTTTAAAATACAGAATTAAGGTCCACGATAGTGGCGACCTAAGCCAGCCAAAGAGTACCCTGCCAAACACGTTTTCTGAATAGGATCAATTACGTTGATCTAGTTTATTTGTATTTTGCTTATACATGCATATGAGCGACAAATAATACTGTTGCCATCAAATTAATCTATCCCCAAATTATTTTCTTTGTTGAAGTAGCTATCACTGTAAAAATGGTTGAAGACCCTTGGTCTGTAAAGTTTAAGATAATACTTTTATAAGTATTGTATAAGGAAACTTGAGCCCAAAATTCCTTTAGACATTTTCTATATGGTTTGTAATGAAGGTTTGCATTCTTAAATAATTAAAGTGATAATAGGAGTAATTAAGAACCATTTTAATTAGCGGGCGGTTGATTAACTGGGTGGGAAGCAGAGGGATTACGGACATGGCCAAGGTTCATCTACAAACATAAAACACGGCCTGGATAAAAGGTGAACAGGTGAATGTGAAGCGACGACACCTCAGCCATCCCGCGACGCACTCCGGAGGAAAACGGATGAATAGAGCAGAGTGCAGGGTTCTCATATTCCCAGGAAAGGCTGGACACATGAAAACAGGGCCACCGGGTGGGGCCACAGCCGGCCCCTTTCGCTCCTCGCCTTCATTAGTTAGTGCCCATTTATAACCCAAGCGGGCCCAAGGACGAGCTCTCCAAGTGACTGCGTCCATTGATCAATTAGGGAAGAGCTGAACTCAACTTAGGACTTGATTTATAAAGATTTATCCGTTTGTCATTATTTAAGGAAAACGGGAAATTGCGGTGCTAAATGTTAATAGAGTTACGGTGGAAATGGCCATTCATTTTCTAAAACTGCAAGGTCAGAAAGTGTTCCCCATTTATATGCACGTTTCTCAAAAAGCAATTTAACGTCCCTAACTCCCAAAGGCAGGTGTACAAATAGCTTCTTTTAATACAAATAACGCCCGATTTTGTGATATTTATGGCCATTTCTGACACAAAAAAGAAGATGAAGCATCAGCGATTCGGCCTGATTTGCTTGCCGCAAAGAGGAATTCACTGCAACTACAGAGTGACTTTTTTTTTGTGCAAAGTAATTGTGAACCAAGGAGTTTCCCCAGGTGTAGCTGCTACGAACTTGACCTTCAGGGTAGGAATCAGAGGGTGGGAGTGGAAAATGTTTTTGGAAACCTTGAGATTTATCAGATAGGCAGGCTGAATGAATGCACAGAAACAACAGTTTTGCTCTCTAACAAAAATGACCAAAAGATAAACCCAAAAGAGCTGGACCATACCTCTGGGTCACTCTCTACCTCACACACAGAAATACACTGATCACAGGTGAGTAGAGGGGCTTGTCCCTCAATCTCTCCTGGAACAACCATGCCCACTCTGCATCTCAGACTAACTACTCATTAGTCAAATGAGGCACATCAGTGACACAAGCCCCATCGCTCTCTATTTTTCTCTGGTAAATACAGTGACTCACACTGCCGTTCGTGTGGTTCACGTCACCAAGCCCGCGGAGGTGCAAGCTACCCACTGTAAATCACACAAAACTGCCTGAAACACTATCTGCGCTAGCATGATGCCAAGCCACCAACTGAAACAAATAAAACCATATTTACTGATGCTTCAAATCACTGCGAAGGATCCTCCCCAATGTATTCCGCAGACAGCAAAGTTTACAGGCTGGCTTTAACCTGCATAGCTTAACATTTTCTACTACAGAGTTGAATTGTACTTAAGGAATTCTACAAGACGTCTAATTGGTTGGTTTATTTAGGCTGCTGGTGCTTAAGTGGGACAACAGGTAGTTATATAATAATAATAATAATAATAATAAATGATACTTTATTGATCCCTGTGGGGAAATTGTCTTTACACCTCCCTCAACTTGCTCTTTGTAGAGTAAGCTGTCTGCGAAGGGCAGCCACCTGTAGCGGCGCCCAGGGAGCTGGGGGTTAAGGGCCTTGCTGGGGCGCCCAGGGAGCTGGGGGTTAAGGGCCTTGCTCAAGGACCCGCAGATGTGCTGAGGCTGGGTTTGAACCGGCGACCTTCTGGAGACACTTGATGCAAGATAATGACCTTCTGAACCCCAACCCTTATAACATGTATTTATTATTATTTTTTTTATATTCACGTTTTGTTCCAGTTGTCAGGTGCTTGAGCTTTGGGCTTGCAACAGTTTCACTGGAAGTCAGATAGTCATGAAAACGCTAAACGATCGAAGTTTAAATACTGAAAACATGGCAAACCTGTGAAGTAGGCGTCGAGTGGGAGCGTGGTGTTGGGGAACAGAAAGTAGCCATGGCCCGGGAACCGGGTGCCGTGGGCGACGGGCGAGTGTGGATCAGAGAGCGACGGGTCCAGCCTCTCCACCTGATAGAGAGGGGGGGGCCATTCAGGTCTCGCGGTGGCTCCCAGGACACCTCCATCACTGACACGTTCAATCCCTTTAATTTAGGAGGACTTAATCCTGCTGGAGCTAACATGAAAAGAGGGATAAAAAGGCAAGAATGGTAATATAGAAGAGGGGGGAAGAAAAATCTACATTTATAGTCACTCCACACATACACACATGCAGGGGTAATGATCTAAATGGCTCCCCAATATATAGTGAGAGGAAGTAAATTACCCCAGCCTGACACATCTTACGTGCATTTAGTCCACTCTGAGGGCCGAACCGTCCTCAGGAAGGGAACTAATAAAAAGCTTAAATGGAAAATGGACATGTTGTCTTCTCAAACCTCTCTCTGCACACACGCCATAAATTACGCTCAATCAATATCACTTCAGTCCATATAATTGAAAGTCTGATATCATTTTAAATTCTCCCGCCGATTCATTAGGATTTTCGCGCAATCCCTTTAAAGATATTAAATGTTTCATTTTTTCCCCCCATTAAGAAAAAAAAGCAAGACTGGAATACAACAGGAATTGCTAAACTGGTGGCTCTGCTGGCAAAGCCTTCAGAAGAATGAATAATTTCATTTAAAGTCCCCCCCCCTCCCATTTCCTTCCTCATGTAGCTGACAGAAACAACGACCCATTAATGAGTGAATTACCTGGGGTGGGCGGCCATATTGATATGGGGGGAGAGAGAGTGGCTACTGGGATGTCCACATGCTCAAAGGGCCATTTGGGAGTGGCCTCTTCACAAAACGGGAATATAAAATGAAGGTGCCGGGCTGACAATGGAAAGTGAGCCACTGAGAGCAGAATCACAAAGGAGGCAGCCAACTTACCCTCCTTTCCCTCCCCCTCATCATTACAAAGCTCCGCCCTGCATTGTTTTCTGCTAATTTAATTGATTCCCATTAAAGCATTCTGCAGGGTGAGGGCTCAAGCACTTGCCGTACTCAAACCTCAGCAAGACCCCAAGCGGGAGCCTTCCTAACACCCCCCGCCCCCCCTTCCTCCTCAGCCGCTGCATCTCGCCCCGTGTTTCGACAACAAGGTTAACAGTCCGACAAAAAGGTTAATATCGCCTTCAACATGTTAATGAATGAACTAAATCACCGGGAAATGCCCAGCAGCTAAATCACAGAGAAACATCCAGGAACAATTAGAAGCAAGGCCGAGTGTTTACGCATTTTATGCGACTGGACCTTTTTATGAACCGTGAGGTCAACATCTTCTTAAATGGAGTGTAATACTTATTTCTGCAACAAGAAAAGTATTGATTTCTGCATAATTGTCTAACCCTTCCTGGGGAAAAATATGCCTAGCCTGATTCAGCTAATTTGCTATATACAGTGTTGCGGTTGTAATAGCAGCAATATAGTTAAGAAATCACACCTGATTTTCTAATAAGAGTGATTATTTAAGTCTCCTTTAAACACCACGGGCTAACGCTGCTACCCGATATCAAAATCGCATTGTTGGCTAGGGATGGACTATACCACAGATTTTTTTTCCAATCCGATGGCAAGTAATACCAACTTTGGTGTCCTGATACTGACACCAATATTTGATGCTGGCCCAACCCGCAATAAAATTTGTGGGGGGGGGGGGGATACTTTCTGAGCCCCTGAAAGGCTTCCCCTTATTACTGGTAATAGCTCATGTCCTGCTCCCTATAATATTATAAACATTTAAATCACCAGGCAAAGAAAAAAAAATAATGGAATTTTAACGTTAGAATCTATTCCCAAAATGAAACATTATGATTGAAAAAATACAATATTCCATTATCGATCTGCACATTTTTACGGTCAGCCATGAAAAGATTTTCACGATGCCAGCCACATGGCCAAAAAGGCAGCCATGTCTGAAACCGCACTCAAAATATCTGGAGACAGAACCTTCAAGCAGAAGTGGTGGCTGGAGCCCGGGTAAATTTCCAACCCGACACACACCTGCCTAAACGCATATACTGTAAGTGAGTAAGAGGTAGTAACATCTCTATATATTGTTTTCAGTTTCTACTGTTTTATCTGTTTATTAACTCTCATCTCAGGTAACTGACACAGACAGGTTTGGACAAACCTAAACTCTACAGCACCAGGTGTCTAATTAATGACATTAAAATTAGATAGCTAATCAGCCTGACACAGGGGACCTAAACACTAGTACTTAACACAGATATTTATCCGGACACACACACTAACACATACATATACACATATACATATACACACATTTGTGAGTACTAATCAAACTGTACTAAATCTGCCACTTTTCAATTGTTAAAGAATCAAACAAACCCTGAATTATCGCCTCTTCAAGTGTGACACAGGAAACAAATGCTTTCACTCTTAAGTCAAATCAAATCAAAAAGCCATTTGAGGCACTACTTGAAAAGTTGTTTAAATGAATGAATTATGCCCCAATTGTTAGCGACAGCCGCACACCCAAAGGGCTTGAAAATCATAAACGCGGGAAAAAGATAAAATTAATACACTATTACCATTAAGCAGACTGGTACTTGGAGCAACTTTAAATGACAACCATTCATTTCAGCTGTTTGTTATCTAGGATAATACAAAATAACTCTTAAAAAAATACTGGAAAACAGATGCCGCCTTTTTCCGTCGAACAGATGGTAATTCTCTTTAATGGCGCATCGATATAACAGCGATGTGCACTGCGTACGAAAACAGTCATAAAGGCTAGGTAAAAACCAGACAAATCGCCATCATCAACATTAAATCCTGGCAAAGGCGCTGGATCCGGCTAATGGGAGGCGGGATGCTGGATGTTGACGTGGGCTCGTGGCGGGGAATTGAGACAGGCTAACAGCTAACAGGCTGCGGCTGCTTGTTTGTTCGCCGGTGCGGACGGAGAAGCACAGAGGGTGGAGCTGGTACAGACACCTGTATTACGAATGACAGCCCAAGCAGCTCCCGGAGAGCCAGTGCAGGCAATCCGTTTCCGGGCTCAGCTTGATGAGAATTTAATTACGCACAAAAAATAAATGCGTGGAGAAACCATCCATTTGTACTTACCAGACACTCTGAAATATCATCCTTGTAACAGAGTTATGCTGAAATAATGACAATCTAGCCAATTATAACCAACAGAGGCTTGTCATCCCTGATATTACATAGATTTTAAAGTCGACTGTAATAATAAATAACAAATAAACAAACAAATCAGAAAAAAATAAAGAAATAACATCCCATCCAAGGTATTTCCCGGCCTACCCACAAGTTTAACAAAATAAATATCCATTATGGTGCAGCTTTTAAAAAAATACCTGTACTGTGCGGGTCTTTGTGTACTGGTTTATCTACAGTATGTTCGCCATAAAAAGGCGTGCTTGCGTAATGGCACGGCTCCATTCGGCCCATTCCGAACTTGGGGGGAAACACACAAAAGTTCCACATTTGCTGCATTTGTTCGGTACTTATGCATACCGAACAGAAAGACCCATACCAAAAATTTGGGTACAAATACGTTACCCTCCTAATATGCATGAATGGTATATTTCAATGTTGGAAATCCACCACACACGATATTGTAAGAACACAGACAAGCTCACTGACCACCTGTGTAAGTCGGGTAAGATATGGTGGTGCCATTAAGCAGCAGACTGATTCACGCCACTCATGTCCCAGTGTATCAATTAGAGCTCACTGGCACCTCCTGTGATTTGTTTCTGTGTTATTAAACCCTACTAATTCATTCTACTTACATATTCCTTATAAATCTCTAGAAGTGGCTCGTGATTCATGGCGACTGTGGAGTGCACCCCCCCCCCACCATAATTAACAGTAAATTGTTTTTACCGCCATGCAACGGATTTTTCGTGAGTGTTGCGGGTGGGGCAAGCAGAGAGGTGAGGGTGGCGCTGACTGACGGATTGTCCGGGCCAAGGGGGGTAGGGCTACATGCCGAGGAAGGCGACCCGAAGCAGGAAGACAGAGGGAGGATTAATACACAAACAGAGGAAGGGGGAGTGAGAGATGAAGGGGGGCTGCACCCCTACTGCAGCTCTGGACATGACGAGAGGGAGGCATCATATTATGCCAAAGGACGCGACGGGGGGAAACAAATGGGGGAGAGCAGGAAGGAAATGGCGACCCACTCTGGATCCTCCATGCAAATTTCAGTACTAAAAATGGGTGGGAGAGAGGGGGAATCAGCTCAAATTTTCCACCTTCAAGAGATGCCTCAAGACTAACGATACACCGATCGATCGGCCAGCGATCGGAATGGGCCGATTTTCAGCCTCACGTATTTCCAATTACGAACCGATCTTGCGCATGCGCAATAAATTATATGTGCAATTAATCATACGCGCAGTGGCGCATACTTTCAGACACGCAAAAATGTCCATAATTTGAAAATTCTTCAGCATGAGCAAAGCAGACGCAAAATTCGCTATCTGCAGCAAGTGTAAGGGCCAGGTACACCGTGGGGGAACCAATACAAAGACATTTAACACACCAAATTTAATTAGACATTTAAAAACACGTCAACCCAGTGAACACGCTGAGTTTGAAGAAGCTAGCAAAGCGAAAGCTGCTAGCAAAGCATGTTCGAAGCCATCTACGAGCCAGCAGTCTGCTGTCTTTCGTTGGTATAAGCAGTGAAAAGAGCAAAGAAATTATGAGGAAAATTATGGAATTCATGGCACTGGATGACCAGCCGTTTTCTGTAGTTGAAGTGTTGAGAGTGAACTCTTGTTTAGCTTGGCTGGACATGTGATAGATGAGACGAGAAATAGAATTTCAGGTGACAAGGCAGAAATGCTTCTGTTCATAAAGAGAAACTTGCCATTAATGCTTAAATAAGGTGTCTTGTTCTTTTAATTTATTTGAATTTGTAAAGTTTAATAAGAGTTTGTTGTGATAAAGTTTTGAGGTAAAGAAAATGTGATTTTTGTATGTATTTGCTGTTCTCAGGGTATCAGCCGATACCAAAAAAATGGTAATGGGGATTGGGCAAGAAAAGTGCAATCGGTGCATCCGGAGAAAAAGCATCTCGGGCAGGCGTGGGGACCGGTGGGGACCCAGGGGCGGGGGTGTCTCTGTAGAACAGAGGGACCGCCGCCCTGGGGGACACCCTACTCAAGACCCATGTTGTGTTTAATAGTTCAGTGTTGCTGGAACGCGAGCTTTACTGACCTCGCGGAATTTCTCATAAAGACCAGGATGTCGGTCTTTAAGATGCTTCGCCAGGTTTGAAGTGCTACTTGACTTTGTCGCCACAACTTTGTAGCACCATTTGCTTAGAGGCTTATTGACACCCTTAGCCTTTCCATGCTCATCTGCAAAATACTTCCAAACGGCACTTTTGCATTATTTTTTTTTATATACTAAAGCAGCTTGTGAAGTGCCTGCAACTGCAGAATATGCCATGTTCGGCCAACTCGGTATATGTGTGCTAACCAGCGCAAATGCATTCAGCGGCTATTGAGGAGGGGAGGAGCTGTGTGACTGTGTGAAGTGTGGCGATTGAGGCGAAAACCGCACTGTTGGTATCAATAATTGAGAAAATGAGTATCTAATCATTTTTAATATCGATTAGTATCTGAGAATCAATTTTTTGACAACCCAAGTGTCTCATTATTTTCAACTCCAGCGTTAGCTACTGTATATCTTCCGTTTCTGATCTTTCACGGTACATTTTTAGCGGTGCGGCAGTGAAAAAGGTCCCCCCCTAAACGGTTTCCAGCTGCACCACTTTCCGATTGTTGTGTAGGCTATTTAAACCAATAATTCATATCATGACAATAATATAAAGCAGTTTTCGGTAAGAACCGACATACCATCCAACACTAGTCATACCTACTATTTGGCATAATATAGCAGAAGACTGCAATTCTCATCACCTATCCATCCATCTCTTCTTAACTGCCTTCCATAACATGAGGCCTATCCATGAAGTGTACGACACAGGACTGGAGAACAACTTGGATGGGATGCCAACAAAACATTGACTCTATATAATATTTATAAATTATTTTAAATTGTACAGAAATCAAAACTCATATACATACATAAGACCCAGATTCTCAGATCAATGCATTTCAGTACTAAACAAAACAAACCTTTCAAACAACAAAATATGCACAACGAAGTAAATGGCACTCAAACAAAAGTGTTGATTTATTGACTCACTTCCATTTTTCTACACTGCTGATATTCTCTTGATCTCTTAGAACTACCTGCAAAATCATACTGTCTTCTGAAATTAAGATGTGGTCAGAGAGGCTTGTCACAGTGCTTAATGCTAACATTTTAGTGTGATTGATTTTTTAAACTGTTCTTTAAATCCCAGAAGGACTTTGAAATAAAAAACAAATATAACAATTAAGCAAATGATTACACGCAGTCGCTCATCTTAGGGAAGCCCAGACGTTACATCAGTCACTACATAAGGAACAGAAACACATCAAGGTCTTGTTAATAACTCTTTTGGAGACACTGACATCGTTCTGTGGAGTAACTGGCACACACTACAAGTCCCAACAGGCGGACTGACGTTACACACCAGCCCTGGGAATTCCGGTGCAATTAAAACCAGTTTGTCATTAACGCTAAACCCTGAACAACAACTGGGGGTGGGGGAGGTTTAAACAGACACTAGGCAATTCAGTTAATTAAAATACTAAAGAAACAAAAAAAACCCTTCAATTGACCACTTATCTGTAATGAAAAGTGTGCCCTGGTTAAGCATATAATACGATAAAAAAAATAACATTTTATTTTTTTAACAGGCACTTCTATCCAAAGCAACATACAGCTAAGAGAGCGGGGTTGGGCAGTCCATGCGGTATTTCGGGTGTTACAGACCTTGATCAGGGGCCCAACATTGACAGCACCCCCCTGACCTTGGAAATACTGACTTTCTGATCACAACCACAGCCTCGCTGAACCACACTCCAACAACTCCATCAATCACACTTATATCTAAAAGATACACTTACTTATCTAACTTTCACTTTAAGAGAAGTACAGTAGAGGGAAGGTTTATATTTTATGTCAGCTATGCCATCAGTTATCTCCGTTATTCACCATCAAAACTGGTGAAGAAGTGTGAATACTGCCCAGGAAAGTGCCCGGCGCGATCGGCACGTCCTTGCTTACCGGCTGGCAGCGTGCGTCCCGTCACAGGGGGGCTGGCCACACACCCCAGCCTGTTGCACAGCTCCACTGTGAAGTTGTACTCTGAGTAGGGCCTCAGGCCCTCAACGGTGTACTCCCGCTCCTCTGGGGACACGGTGCGGAGGACCTGCCAGAGGGGGAAAGAGGGGCACCTCAGCAGGTCTGGGGAGCAGGTGCAGTACACGGTGCGACCACAAGGGGATTTAGAGGGGCACCTCAGCAGGCCTGGGGAGCAGGTGCAGTACACGGTGCAACCACAAGGGGATTTATATCCCACTGATGCTCATCCTCAGGAGCATCACAGTATTGTGTCAGTCATCCATCTATCCTCAACTATCCAGTACAGGTTTGCCCTGTTATTAGTAACATACACAAAAACTACTCTGCTCACTTCAGTTACCAAGAGCAGCAACATGTTCTCTATCAGGTGAAGAGTGCCAACAAAGAACTGCATCATAAGCTATAGAGCAGAAAGTCTTCACATTCATTGCACATAAAATTTAATTTCAACCTTCGCATATCCCATCTTACTCTCCAGTGAGACACACATATACAAGTGAGGGCAAAGCTTGGGGTCAGACCAGAGGGTCAGGCCATTTATCCGACAGCCTTTGAGCAGCGGGGGCATGCTCAAGGGCCCACCGGTGATGATTATACCACCAGCCTTGGGATTTGAGCAGGTGACCTTCTGGACACGGGCCCTGGCTCCTAACCCGCAGAGCCACACAGCGCAAGTGATATAGTGAGCCTGTTTTGAGATACAACTATAATTAGCTAAATAACAAACATTTTAATGGCTACAGATTAAGACAAGGCTTTTGCCATTAGTTGCAGATTGTGCTTGTATAATCAGTGTCTTGACACCATTCTATACTGTATGAGCCCTCCTGTATGCATGGGATTCTCTTAGGAATACCATGCCAATCTTTCATGGGATTAAACCTGTACAGAACCTCTATCAACTGAATTGTGGGCAATAACAGGTAGCATAGGATAGCTCTTTAAAATGGATTCTGGGGACTTCTCATTCATTTTAGGGTGGGGCATCCTTTTCTTGGGTTTTCCCAGCAGGCAGCACCGCGCCTACATACCAAGAGAGCGGTCTTGTTTGTGTAGCATGCATTATGTATCGGTGATGTACAACAAGCCTGGCTGGCTAAACTGCACTTCTGCTGTGCACTTATTGGCAGACAGAGTAATGAGCTCTGAGTGAACTTAAAGTACATTAATATTGACATTATAAGGCATCGCGGGGCTTTTGTTTTCGTTTTTCAACGGTCGTTTAATTTATGCGGGAAGATTTGTCAAACGCGGCGAAGTGGGGCACGGTACCGTGGAGATGACAGGCGGCGCGGACCGGTGCAAGGCCTGCTCCCGGTGCAGGCGGACCGCGTACTTCATGACCTTGCCCCTGGCGTCCCTGCTGCTGGGCGTTTCCCAGCTGACCGTCAGCGAGGAGGGGGAGATGGGAATTACCCGAGGTGTAGGCATGTGCCTTGGCTCTGCGGGGCACAAACACGGAGACCCGGGGTAAATTAATAAACCACCGCCCGATAATTACATGTGTCGCTCGTGGTTATATTTTTAAAAACGTCTTTAAAACGCAACGCGCACATTTATTTCACTACTCTAGCGTCCGACTGCAGCACTTTAAAACTTTGAAATGTATATTTCAAAAACAGATTTTCCTCCTTCAAAAAAACAGATGTTACCCTTTTTAAGAAACCATAAAGTACCTGACAGCTTTAAACCGCGAAGTGCAACACATCCAAGTACACACTCTTTCTGTCAGAGTAACATACGCAAATATGTAAATAGAAGTTTGTATTTCACACGTACGTCAGATTGTTGGGAAGAGAGAGAACCCGAAACATGGCTGACAGTAACGGTTCCGGGATTTCCACCTGTCTCGCGCACACCGAGGCTGCCGCGGTTATCCGAGCTAAAGACTGCACGCCAAGCTTTTTTCTTTATTCCTTTTAAGCACATTGTGCAAAGAAAAAAAAACACTGGACAAAAAAAAAGACGGACAGGGAAGCCTATCCATGTTAATTTTCCCGCCTGCTCTCCCGGGCGAGCTGTCAGGCAGCTTCCGGATCACCGGCGTTCTCTGCCTCTCGCTGCTGAATATGCGCGTATTGAAAAATCGATTCCGCGAAGGAAATCAGAGGCTCTCGGCTTTTCCCATATCAGATGACCGAAACTGATACAGTTACGGGGACAATATATGGATTATTTTCCCCCCTCATGCCACAGAGACACAGCTTGCTGCATGAAATATAATTTACGGTTATTTCGTACTGCTTTAAATGCTGTTTGGGGCAGACCTTTAATTTAATAAGGAATATAATCACTTTCAAATTCAAAATTATATCGTTACCCCCAAACCCACCACACACAGTATTTACCGAAGGAAAAAATAAAGCAGTGATTTTGAATGGAACTTAATATCTCTTAATATCTGCACAATTACCATTATACATAATTCATTATGATATCTAGAGGCATGCCAAGCCACAAAGGAACAGAATTTGAAGGAATAATAAATATTAAGTCTTAACCAATTTGACTGGGATAAATTCAATGGGGCCTCACCCCCCTCTTCCGTCTTCCCAGTCGCCCATTCAGAGAGCGTGCTACCCGCCATGTTGGCTGACAGCACCCTGAACTGATACGTGGAGAAGGGCTCCAGGTCCATCACGGTGGCACTGCTCTGCGGTGGGGTCAGGGCACCCTTGTTGCTCGCACCCGGGGTTGGCTGCGGACTGAGCCATCCACTGCTGGAGAAAACCCTCCGTTCTGGGATGGGGGTGGCACCATGGTCCTGGGACTCCACAGGTCCGCGCATGAAGAGCTCGTGCCTGATTATTACGCCTGAGGAGACGCCAAATGTCTTACAGGGGACTGGAAAAAGGTGGTAAACACTATTCTACCCACTTCCTAATATGATATGTTATGGAACCCCACATATCCCTCCATTTTCTGTAACCACTTGTCCCACTCAGGGTCATGGGGGGTCTGGAGCCTAACCTGAAGGCTATGGGTGCAAGGAATGGAACAACCCAGGATGAGACACCAACCCATCACAGGGCACATCTTTAGGCGATTTGGTAACTCCGATTAACCTCAGCATGTTTTTGGAGTGTGTGTGTGTGTGTGTGGGGGGGGGCGGTCAGGTACCCAGAGGAAAGCCCATGACAACATGCAAACTCCACACACAACGGAGACTAGAAACCTGGTTCCAGAAGAATGAGGCGACAGTGCTAACCCGAGAACCACCACGCCATCCTACCTATGGCCATCCACTTTCTCACTCTTCATATCTATGAGTAAATCTGATAACACAAATTCACCTTAACATTTTTGGACTGGGAGGGGGCTAGAGTACCCATGGGAAACCCCACATCGACATGGGGAGAACATGCAAACCCCTAAACACAGAACCAAGGGGGAGACTTGAACCCTGGCTAACCCCTGCACCCCATACATTTAAAATGTATTAATTGTATTCCTAGCTTTGTTCAAATAAGTATAGTTAGTGGTATCATGGCACATAGGAGTCATATATTTAAAACCATCACTGCTTCTGCTAGCTATGTGTCCTATTTTGTCTAAATTACAAGATGATCCAAAGCACTGGAAAAGACTGGAAAAGTTGAAGGTGAAAGTGAAAAGGGAGCAGTGACCAGGCAGGTGGACTGAAACATAATGAATATGCTATTGGGAAGTCTGAGGATCCTTACAAAAAGGGACTGGCGTCTAAATAGTCGCTAGCAGTCACTACCTCAGGTTGAGGTCATGAGATATGAGTAGCTTATTCAGAAGCAGTATTTACTGACATACCATTGGGCTGTGCTGGGGGGTCCCAGGTCACTGAGAGCCGAGTCAGCCCATTGGTGCTGACCCGCGGTGCAGGTTGGAGCTGAGGTGCTGCCTGGGGGGTAGTCAGACCCAATGGCTTGCTCTGGGTGCAGCCGGCACTGGTGCAGGCCCGCAAGCTGAAATTATAGCGGGTGAAGGGACTCAAGCCACTCGCTGTGGCTTCGGTACCAAGCCCAGAGTAGTGGACCCGCTCCTCCTGATCACCCATGGCAACGGCGCTCAGCATGTAGCCTTTGACTGGGCCGACGGCGTGCCGAGGACGTGTCCAGTTGAAGGTGGCACTGGTGGGCGTGGCCCTGCCCATGAGATGCAGGCTGAGATGCTCAGGCAGGGGGATGCCAGCCAGGGTGCGGTAGCTGACCCGTGCGCTGCTTGTGTGGCCGCGGACGTTGCTGGTCACCAGCTGGTACGAGTACATGGTATACGGGGACAGGCCGGTGTCTACGAAGACCTGGGGTTCTGATCATTTCAATATGACAAATATACAAATAAGACACTCTTATTATGCAAGAGCAGTTAAGCATTAAGTAAATAGGGCAACGAAAATCTATTTTTTCACATCTTGAAAATACATATGTGACATGTCATTAAGTCGGCATGCAACTTTATCATCATTACTACAGTCATTACCATGGTAATGTGGCAGCATTGGTGGTTCAAACATATAACCGCCAAAGAGAGATTTCTTGGTCCCTGGTGCCAACAGAAGCCATGCCTAATGCGTGGTCTGGCTGGTGCATTTTTAAGTCACAACGAGGACATTTCAGTGCAAATGCTCCCCAGAGCATTTTTGCGACAGCGTGTGAGGTAAACACAGTAACGGGGGTCAGATTTAGGCACGAAGAGAAGCAGGAGCGTACCGAACGGGTGCTGGGCATGGAGAGTGGCAACCTCGTGCGAGTCCCGCAGGAGGGCATATTTCAGCATGTTGCTATTTGGGGAGTCGGGGGGGCTCCAGGTCAGCTGGATGGCACTTGCGTTCAAGACTTGGCCTGTAGGGGGCGGCTGCTGAGACGGAGCTGGGAGAAGATCGCAGTGTTGCGGGGGGAGGTGAGGCAAAAAAACAAACAGACAAATCTATACCATTATGGTTCATTGTGGCTGTTACATGGATTAAACAGATCTCTCTAGAAGTGTAAGTGGCAAGGTTAAATATTGAGGATGTTAGCAAATGGGACAAATGGAGCAGGGATAAACCTTGAAACAAACATGTTTTATGCGCAAAAATGCTAACTTAATAAAACAGATTTGTGGGGTAATAGCTTCAGACATTAACCATCCCTTTTCCCTCCAAACTGCGCAGACATTAAAGGCTATAAAAGGGGAGGTGGAGCAAACTGGCCACCCACTCCCGTGGGCACGCGGTGCTCGCAAATCCCCCCCTCATAAATGAGCCGAGGGATGTTTGTCGCACATAAGGACGTTTTACGTTTTATATCGACAGGGACAGCACTTGGCATACTGAGGAGGCTGCGAGGTGCTCAGGGGCCCAGTCGCCTCCAGTCGTATACGTGCCGGGATTTAGAGGAAACTGCTAAGCATTTCATTTCTTTTTTTTTTTTTTTTTTTTTTAAGTATTATGTTTCAGATTAAAATTCAATGAAATGAGTGTGATTAGTTACGCTTCTTGGCGTAAGGAATTAGCCTTAGTAGCATTAACGCTAAAGCACATGTCCTGTTGTGAATTAAGAGACCTTAACAAGCAGTGCAAAGAGGTGCATCAGGTTTCGCACTGACATTGACTGCAGCCCAGCTGGTTGCTGGCGTCCATGTGACTGGCCCCCGCAGCACAGGTGTCACACCTGTCCCCGCGCACGAAGGCCTTGCAGTGGCACCGTCCCGACTCGGGGTGGCAGGTGCCATTCAGGCTGCCCGCGGGATCGCAGCCGCACTCTTCACACCTTTGGGGGGGGGTGGGCAGCAGTTAGCCACAAAATAAATAAAGAAAAAGCTGGAAATGCAAATAATAAAGTAGACGATTAGCTTCAGATTGTTTTTGAAATGACATCCATAGCTATATACTACTGACTGTAATTAGTGATGCTGACGGAAAAATACTAGCCTTGAGCAGCAGGATTATCTGAATGGACCAACTGTTTTAATTCTGCTGGGTGGGGGGTTGTCACGAGCATTCAGTACAAACTCACAGTCAAGTAATGAAACAATATGCTTGGATCTTGTATTATATTCAAGTTTGAAAGGTTTACTGTCCCTGAGTGACACACAACAAGATTACAATACTCACTTCCAAAGCCGATACAATACGAATATTAACTGTAAAAAAATGTAAAGGCAGTAACCAATATATAAAAGTAAACATTTATTGAGGTAGTCAAACTATAAAAGAGATGAATTATAAAGAAACAGACTACTAAGACTGTGACTGGAGAGAAGAAAAGGATATTGCTTTGCCACAATGCAGAGGAATCATTAAACTCAACCCAACATCACAGCTTACAATGTACACTCGTGTCCCATTCTATGGGCTGTCTTCATGATAACGAGCACGAGTGTTAAGTGGACCAAAGGGGGCGGGAGTGTCCATGATTCTCCAACAGACCTCTTTGGTGCCTGTCAGTTTGTCTCACGGGCCGTGTGAAGCCATGGGGAGCCAGAGCCCAGGCCGAGCAGGGAGCAGACACCTGACACCCTTCAGCAGACCCGATAAAAGCCACAGACCCGTAATGAGCTGGAAATTTGCGCTGGCAGCTGAGGGGGTTCTGCGGCCGTGCGGGTTCACGGCAGTTTGACCTTGACTCTTTATAAGGAGACGGAAAGATAAATAAATCATACCAGTTTCCTTTGGTTAAAAATACGTTTTTCTTTAAACTAGATCTCAGTGAACTGGTTAAACTTATGCCAAAATTTCAGTTCATGTTCTCGCCCCCTGGGCTTGTGGGTCAGCTATTTTCCCTATGAAGTATGAACTTCACCAAATCTTTTCTCCCATTCACGTTCAGGGCTTGTCCAATCAGCACATCACACTTTTCTCCAAAGGACTGACTCACGTCATTCACAAGTGTGGTTAACAGAAGCAGTGGATCCATGAAAAAAAAAACACACACACACCGGATCTCTCTAACTTTAGGGCTCAGTCACAGTTACCCCATAATCCATACCAGCTTTATCTAACTTGAAGCAAAACAGCTTTTCCAGCCTTTTTAAGAAAGGATAATGGATAACCAGCCTGCTGGTCCTAGAGCTGTTTAGTGGCGACAGTGGAAGAATCTTAAATTAAGTTACGATTGCAACATAATTTGCAATTATGCGTTATGAAAAAAACCCGACACTTCCTGACTAAATGTCAACACTGAAAGTACTAAATTGCAAACCAGAAAAACAAATTTATTTGCATAGATAAAGAACCAGATATAATCTCTCTCTCTGTGAGAAAAAATACATATTTTTTCCAAGGTTAAATGATTATCCAAACAAGACTTTCTACCGTCTATATTATATCATTTACCATTATAAAAATATTCCATAACCATGTTGCAAGTTTAACATCCTAGATTAAATAAAGTGCAGTGGAGGGTAGAATATATGAAAACAAAATAAGATGTATTGCCTTATTGATTCAGGGAGGATAAATGAGTTTATGATATTTAGATAAAGAAATCTTTATTGTGTTGAATCTCTCAATACAGTTAAAGCTTTCCCTGTAATCAGTTTAAATAGTTCATTTTTCATCCATATGAGAGAGAGGGGGCTTGTGGATAGATTGTATAAACAATGATCTGTCACGTCGGGTATGGATTTACAATTTGTGGTGTCCATCGGTCGTGCAGTTGATGTATCGAAAACACACATTTGCCGTGTTTGCTGCTTGTCAGCTTGCATCACAATTAATGTTCTCTCTTCACGCATTGAGGCAAGACTCTGTTTCGGGAAACACTGAAAGGGAGGCAGCGATCGCGACACTGGCGAATCGGTTTAGCTTTCAAGCACCGATCCAGCATTTTGACATCCATCAAGGGCCCGGATCTAAAATTTCGACAGTTGTTCTAGGTTGCCTCCCTTTTCAGGAAGATTCTGAAATCATTGTTTTCCAGGACATATCAGGTTTACACACTGCTGAGGAGCAGATGAAAGACACTTTATCTAAGCCAATATATTTATTCCATGGAGCTTTTTGTTCTGTGTATCGTTAAACATGGAAAATGCGTGATGTATTTACCATTCACCATAAACGACGTCTAACAAGTCAAGTGTGCCGACAGTATTAATACTGTTTCATTTAGAAATAGGTCGCTTTAATGACTACTCTGACCTTTAAAAGTAATTCCAAACCTGCAGGCCTCTAACCAGCTAGCTGAATGAAATGGCTAAAATAAAAATAATTTTTTAAAATATGGATGTATGAGGTGTCTGGGCCAGTTCCCGAGGACGTGTCGGCCACCCGCGAGCCACCCGATAGCTAGAGCGCCGAGATTCCTCCAATCAGGGCAGCCCCCGCTTGGCACCATGTGAGAAAGGAGAGGACGGCAGGGGGTGTGAACCAGGGAAGCACGCGCCCGCTGCCTCACGCTTCCTGGCACACACGGGGGGGACACTGCGGTCAGCCAAACTTAAAACTCAACTAGCAAGGGAGGTAACTGAAGGAAATCCATAGTAATAATTAGCTAAAGTGTCATTTCAGCTATGCTGCCGCACAGAGGCAAAACACTGTAACTGCACATTTTATCAAAATCGAAAGTGGGTGTCTTGGGTTGTTTTATCTCGTGACAAATATCTAAATTCAGCTGGGCTCGGTTTTGAAGAACCACACCATCGTTTACCTACCTACTACATACACGAGTGGACCGTCCATTTTCTCGGTGTCAGCTTAGTTACCGTGTTTTGCAGTATGGGATGTTAATATTAGTGATTAGTGCCACAGTAATACAGATAGCAGTGCTTCCACGTGGCCGGTGGTGCAAAACTCACCTGCCAGCAACAGGGTCGAAACCACGGTAGCGCTCCTCACACTGGTCACACCTGCGGCCGGCCACCGAGGGGTGCCGGCAGGCACACTGGCCCGTCTCCGCCTCGCAGGCCGGGCTGAGAGCCCCCGCAGGGTGACACTCGCACTCCCGGCACCCGCTGGCTCCCAGGGGCGACCGGGAGAACCCTGGGGGGGGGGGGGGGGTGACAGGTCAGACTCGAGCAATTGCAATTCAGCACAGGGCTCCAGGATGCCGAGCTCTGCCCCAGAATGGCCGACCTCCCAGCGAGCAGCTCGGGGGTCCAGCGTAACCTTAACAGATAAAATTTACTGGCTGTGGTATCTCTATTTTGGGGGGGGGGATGAATCATAGGCGCGCCACTGGCATTCTCCGCATCCATCTGGCCGAGCCCCCCAGCCTAAGATGTCTCAATCACAGGGCGCTTCCCCCTCGGGTGAAATACAGCCAGGCAGTGGCCTGGGCAAGGGGGGGCTACAGAAATGCAGTCATCAGCCGCCCCCCCCAGAGGGGCCCCCTCGCTCTCTATCACCACTTTCAATTTACTCCTGCCATGGCCATGCACGGCACACATGCTTTATGTGCCCCAGCGTCTGCCGGTTCCGTCGGCCTGTCCGGCAGCGACATCGCCTCCATCTCAGCAGGAGGCTCCGGCTGCAGCTCTGCCTCTCCGCCGTCGCCTTTCTCACACTTACGGATCTCGTCAGTTCCTCATGCTCAGCGGCAGAACATGAGCGCCACAATGACTTCTATGCTTAATCACATAATGTATATACACTGCTCACGGAAGGTCTTGGGATGTATGCTTAATTGAGTAAAGATATTGCAAATTTATTGGTTTTATAACAAAAATCACAACTTCAAGCTGTCCCATTGGGCGTTTTTTAATTAGTAACACCTTTGCAATAACATAAAACACCAAAACATTGTGTTTAGTATCCCTTTGGGAGCCAATGATTGCGACTTCAACTAATAGTAAAATGGCAAGAACAGAACTGAATGAGTCAGTCAAAAAAATTATGACACTTAATAAAAAGAAAATGTCTGTGCGGAAGATATGTGCTGGTATCTCAAACATTGCCTGTCAATGGACTTTTGTTATGAAACCAATAAATTTTAAACAACATTTTTACAGAATTAAGGAAACGTCCCAAGACTTTCGGTGAGTACTGTATAGGCATTTATTATGCAGTACTTTGTGAAAGTTATAGGCAGTCAAAGAAAATGTTTAAAGCTATTTATCTGTGTAGTACATGTATTTGCTTAGAAAAAAACACAATTTAATATTAAAAGAATTGCAGATTAATTGTAGCACAATAAAAACAAATAAGAATTTCTTCTACTTGCCCTGTTAGGTGGCTAGAAGCAAAGGCGCCATAAAGAGGGGAACTTAGGATGGTCAGAGAGCCCACGAGTGACAGGGGCTCTAAAAAACATAACTGGATTGGTCTGGACTGGGGGGCCAATATCTCCAGCAGCACCCCTAGTTAGAAGAGCCCCTCTTTGGTTCCCAAACCTCTCCTTTGGGCAACCACAGACATTCCATGCATTTGCTAAATCTCACCACCAGATCACTTAATTCACAGAATTAGTTATATAATTTGATTCGTTATTAGCCAAAAATAGTATACTAGTAGTTCAATTCAAGTCACAGACATAATATTATAGCTTAACACCAACATAAAGAACACTTAAATATCCTTTTCTTTGACTGCCTAAGATGTTTTACACAGTACTGTACATGAATATAAAGCACACGTTATTGTGTGATTCATTGTTTTTCTTTCATAAAAAGCACACCTCATCTTAATATTAATTTTATCTTTTCAAGAAATGTTTAGTTTTCTGACAGCAAGACGTCTTGATGCTAAGTTCCGTATTTGAGTCTTGGCTTCCTGACACTAGCCATCCGCCAAAGTGCGAGATAAGCTAAGGGCTAAGCTAAGGGCTAAGCTAAGTGATTGTCTTTATCACAGACAGTGTGGCAGCTGTTGCCACTGGCGCAGGGACACAGTGACCACTGGACTCGTGGCAGCCATCCGTCGTTCGATTTAATAACCTGCGCAAAAGAGATGCCGGGTTGTGGTCCAAGCGGCGCCGAGGTGACAAAGAATCCCACCCAGAGCGCAACTTTGCTTGTGCTGACATCGAGCAAACTGGGTGCCAATGGGCAAGCTGGCACGAGGAAGGGCCCAAATGAGGCTGCCAGGTAGACGTCACCTCCAGGGTGACACGGACGAGGACATGGAGTAAAGAAGGGACACTCTGGAATGAAGAACAGCCCTCGCGCCAAAAGGAGCTGAAATATTCAATTAATCATGATTGTTGGACACACTGGGTCTATAGACAAGGTATGGACAGAGAGATGTACCTGGCCTACAGGTGGAGCAGTCCTGGCTGTGGCGGGAAGGCTGACAAACACACTGGCCGCTGACTGCATCACACACCGTGCCCAGCACAGTACCGGTGGGGTCGCACTGGCATGGCCGACAGCCCAGGAACTCAAGTGCAGTGCTCAGGTTGTAGTGGTGGGGGGAGCAGTGAGTGCACCGTGAGCCCTGGATGCCGGCCTTACAGGGACACTGGCCGGCAGCCTTGTCACAGACACTGCTGCCATTGACTGTCCCTCTGGGGTCACACTGGCAGGGTAGGCAGCCCAGAGGGTCGTCACGGTCCAGGCTGTGGAATCCATCCCGGCAGGCATCGCACCTTCGCCCACCCGCACGGGGCTTGCACACGCACTGCCCAGTCACTGGGTCACAGGTGTTCCCCGGGACAGTCCCAGCGGGGTGGCAGTCACATGGCCGGCAGGTCCCGGTGGCGCTCAGTCCAAAGGAGCCCGGCGCGCAGGCGTCACACAGAAGCCCCCGGACTCGTGGCCTGCACTCGCACTGGCCCAGGGAGGGGTCGCAAGATGGGTGCAGAGACCCGTTCAGGTTGCAGCTGCAGGGCACGCAGCCCACTGGGTTGGAGCTGTTGAGGAACTTGAAGCCAAAGTTGCAGCGGTCGCAGGTAAGACCTTCAAGAGACAATGAGAGCAGAGATGCTTAAAACTGGCTGCTACTGTACTTTAACTTAATAATGGATGACTATGATGTATTTGTAACCAAAATGTGTCTATTTATGACATTCCTTACAGACAATCAAACTTGTAACATCAATAAGAAACATGGCCTTTAATTTCATTTAGGTTTCCTTCATATTTATATTATTTTTCCACAAATAGCTCTGAAACACTTCAAACGAATACGATCCATAACTAAGGCGGGTCAGTACGTGTTCAGTCCAGCCAAGTCAAAACTCACATTTTCAAACACGTAGCTAAACAAACAAACAAAAAAGAATAAGGGGAAAGAAAAAAAATTATAAATCACACGTGAATAAAATGTGGGAAATTCCACCATTAAGGGGGGGGGGGGTCCGATTACATTGATGGATAACCCACCCCAGGCATAGCACTTAATTTCACTAAGAGGAAATAAATAAATTAACGGTTACAAGAAAGGCAGCAAGATGTAAAAATAACTGTGAGGCAGAAAAGAATCGCAGCTCGTTTGGAACCAGCCAACGCGGTCTACGCGGATTCACACCATATTGGTTCTTTTTTTTTTTTTTTAATATGCACAGCACTTATTTGAATATGCCATACATATTCCTGACAGGTAATCTATTCCTAATGTTGCTACGCCAAGCCTACAGGGCATGCAGTTCAGAGTTAACAAGTACAAAGAGCTCAGGCCGCCCGCCGGTCCTGCCATTTTATTCCTGTTCGAAGGACCCACTTTAATAAACTTACAGCTACTTAATATATTTCCTCCGATTTGCGCTTTACCACTCTATATTAAGTGTGTGCTGCAATTATCTTTGCACACACACAATTTTTAGCATTTTAATCGCTATCATTAAGACTAAGCATAAAGCATTTAATGATTAACAACATTCACTTTTCTGTGTATTTTTGGAGCAAAAAAAAACCAATGAATTATGACAATAATAAACTGACCTTTTTATGTCTGTTTCACTTTAAAAAATGGGGATGGGATACAAGTGAATTAAAATGTAATGCATTTTGCAGCAGGACAGGCTGGCATTTTTGTGAGTCTTTAGCTTGCATCCACACGCTTGTGTGATAGTCAAAAACAAACAAACAAACAATGATGCAACACAAACACGGCCAGGAGAATGCAGGCGTCAGATGCCAGTCTGCCCACACCCAACCATGTGGGCATGGCACTAACTGCTGCTGATGAATTCATTCATACATTGTACCATGGACCACAGAACTTGGGGGTGGAGTAGAGTGGCACCCAGGGCAGTTCCTGGGTAATTTTTGGAGCATCATGAAGAACGCAGTGGCAAACAATCACCTACAAACAATGTAAAGCAAAATTTAAAAAAACCTGAATTTTATGTTATTTATCAAAAGGTTGCATTGTTTTTCAAAGCAAAACAGATAAGTGGACATGACTTCATGCCCCCCCGGATGTGTTCTGTGGTCCATGCATTACACTAACACATAAACATATTTGTAAAAATTTTACTGGCCTGCGAATTACCTGCACCAAAACCATTATTTAATATAATGCTATATTAAATACGTAAACATATATTATACTATAAACGCTAAATTTTATGCAGTCAGCTAGTACCTAAATGTGCAACTAAATTGGGGTCAGTTACTAAGGTTTACAATTATGTCGTGCATATTACATATATGCATAAATATGTTCCCATGTACTGCTACGTGAGCTTTGCGACAATGCGCCCCTCACTTTATCAGTAATGCTCTGTGCATAATATCCCCATACATCAACATTTCAAAGTGCATTATGTACATGCTGTACTTTGGGAACTTGATAAATTTTGTCCTTATGAAGCTGCTGCTCCGCTCCAATATTGTGGAGGTAATAAATTGCTATAATCAAATCTAATTTCTGAAAAATACCTGTGGGAGCAACAAACAAAAAAGCGAGTCTTGTAAGAAGCGTGAAAAATAACAGAGACGGGGGCAGTTTATTATAATCAGCTCGGCATTGAATTACAAAATTAAAATTGGGTGGCCCTTGATAACCAGACTTGGCGATATACATGATTTCATGAGTAACTTCGTTTGCATTTCATAGGAAACAGTTCAAAGGCACGCAGAGGGAGAGAAAGAGAACAGATTTATCACAAAGGCCCTGGAAAACCAGGAGGAAAATGCATTTGGCGCTACAGGGTTCGCACACTTTTCGATCAACAAATTTCCATGACTTTTCCATGACTTCTCCAGGACTTCAAGCTAAATTTCAAAAAGCATTTTTTGTTCAGCCCATTCAGGAAAAGTGTTCTATAGTTATTAAACGATCTGCATCACATGACACCATTACAAACATGTACTTTGTGTGTTATGATCTTGCATTCATCCTTTGTAAAATTATATGCAATGGAAGGTACCATTATCCAGATATGTATGTTGCTTTTCTCTCTTGCTTAGACACACACTATCAAAGAAGTTGTATAGTTTAATTTCCATCTGGTCTAATAATGGTGAGCTAAACAAATATTTACCAAGTACTGTAGACCATCTTTTCTAGCTATCAGCAGATAGACAGTCATTAAATTTATTCCTTACATTTGCAATAACAAGAAACAATAATTATTGAGGTCCACATCTATAATTGAGTTTTTACTAGTAAAAATTGTAAGTACAGGAAATTGTAGAGATCTGAAATTCACATTTTGGATATTTGTAATTTCAGATCTCTAGATTTACTGTAGAGATAGACAATTAAATACCTGTTTCTAAATGCGTATTTTAAAGCCAATGCTCTATAGGAAAGTGCCATGTCGTAACGTATAGAGGGGAATAATGCCACGTCGAGACGTATTTCCTCTAGTTTTCTGCCCCAAGGGCCTTCCATACTCAAGAAAGTATAATCAAGATACTGCTCGAGAGAGACAGGGTTACACTACGAATATTGATTTAAAAAATAAATAAATAATTCTCAAAAATCCCGACTGATCCAAAACTTTTTGATATTTTTATTTTCCATAATTATTATGGGTCTGAAAAACATGATTTCTCAATTCCATGACTTTTCCAGGATTTTCATGACTCTTGAACCCTGCACTAGCAGGTCATATAATTAATGACAGTACTTCTCTAAGAATGCATGTTGTGGGGCAAAATGTAAGCATGTCATTGAATTCGGCAAGATATACATTTTGAAACACTGAGGTTTTAACATGTCCACTGCTGAAACTGTAACACAAAGCCTGTTACAGCTGTAACGGCAGTGGCATTTGCTAATTATTACTTTGCATTTGCAGATAATGCTAATGTTGTCATTTAGCAGGAAGAGATCTGATTGCTTAGCGCTTTCTGAATAATCACCATTCCGGTCGCTACTCTTGAGTTTGCCTTCCTAATCCCGAAAGCTGGAGGAGTGGGACGTCAGAGAGAAGGATGAGAACGGCGATGCTGTTTGATACCTACCGATTACGTTCGCCTTGCAGTGGCATTGACCTGAGTCCTGGTGACAGGTAATATCTGCTTGCATGGTCCCGGCGGTATTACAGTTACAGGCGCGGCAGCCGTCAGGGTGCGAGGGCCGCAGCTCGTAGAATCCGGCCTGGCACTGATTGCACTGCCTGCCAGACACGTGTCGCTTGCACTTACACTGGCCCCCGATCTGTGGAGCAAGGGCAGATCATGTGACTACGCTCCAATTAGGCAGCTTGTGCACTGTGCTGTGAACGCCTGTCACGGAAGAGCGGGCCCTTACACTCCAGGGTCATGCGGAGAAATATCTCACTAACTACACTAGGGTGCTGGAGGGTAGACATTTGACCATGCTTGCTTTTTATCTATTTACATTTACATTACTGATCAGCATTTATCTGTGCATTAAATTTGTGCACAGTCTCTTGAAAAATTCTGTAAAATGATACTGTAGAACTTACATATTTGCAGTATGTTTGACCCTGAAACTAACTGGAACAGAATACATAAAACAATAAGATTTCTTTGGATAAGTTAAAAAGATGACCGTATACCTTTGTGTATAAATGAAAATATCTTAAAACTTTCTAAATGGCATTGCCCACCCACTCACGTATGTGTGAGTCACAGACACTGCAAGGTAGCTGGAAGAGAATGAGATGTGTAAAGGAGAGGGAAAGACAGGGAGGGAGAGAAAGAGAGAGAAAATCGGGAAGAGGAGTATGGGACCTGGAAATGGACAACTGTCTGAAGCTCAGAGAAGCTGCATCTGACACCCCCCCTCCACCCAATACAGGGGGGGAGAGTCAAAATGACAAATTCCGAGCGTGTACTGAGCACCCCAGACAACTCTCACTTTTGAAATTAGGCAAAAATTAAGCCATCAGCCAGAGAGCGAAATAATCATTTGGAGAATTTAAATAAGGCAGCAGCCTCACACTGGTGACCCGGAGATTGATTTTGAATTTGTCATCCACTATATCTATTGACACAAATGTGTCTCTCCAAAATGGGTTTCATGATCTTCGGATAAAGGGGACGGAACGGCTCTCCAGAGATCGCACTTCCTAATGACACTTTTACATACTCGCCAAAATCTGTTACCGATCACAGCTCTGATAAATTGTACTGTGAATACTCAAGTTGCAGCCAGGCACCTCAGAGGCACTTTCCTGCTTCTTGGAGGAATATCGTTATCCGCATCTTCTCCCTATAATCACTGTTGTGATTATAAGTATCCTGCCGCTAATTTCTGAGTCCTATCTGCCACCTGTAACAATCTTTTTGCCCATATTTCTTTGCATACAAGAGCCCATGAATTCTTACTGTAAACATACACCCTAGTGAATACAGGGTTACAGTTAGAGACATGCAGAACAGTCCAGAGCAACTCACAGCAAGCAAGTCAACTGACAAATCCAAGAAATTCTGACGTCAAAACTCCACAAGCACTGTTTGAGCATGTCAATGAGCACATCACAAAGTGACTGTCGTTCCAAGACAGGGGAACATACCTAAGGAAGAGCAGGGAGAGCAGGCTTACCGGATCACAGGCCAGGCGGCCGTTGACAGTTCCTGCTTGCAGGCAGTCGCAGGGTTTACACACATTCTCCATCCACAAGACACTGTTAACCTCTCTATAGAAGGTGTTCCGGCACAATTCACAGTTCCTTCCTTTTGTCGTTTGTGGGGGGGGGGGGGTGGAGTAGGCAGGCAAAGATCAATGTTAAGTGATTAAAATTCAATCATATTATAGGACCATAACTTCAAATTAAAAGCTGCAGTCTCCAGGGCCCTACGGTGAGAAATTCGTAATTTTCAAGATGTCCATTTTAATGTAGCCTTTCAGCCCCTCCTGCCAGAGCTGAAACTGAGCATATGAAACAATGAAGCTGTTAGCGATGCTGCCACCTTACTCCATTAAAACTACCCGCTGTTCTCCAATAACGCCACATCTCTGGCAAAGTCACGTCCAAGGAAAGCTACGCATGCCGCTTCAGTGTGGTGGTCCTGTTGTTTGCCCAAGCCATCATCTTACTGTAGCCTGCATATTTATCGGTTACATTCAGCATTTTATATTACGATTTCTTAAGCAAGTGACTAGGTACCTGGCTTTCAGTTCACAACCAAATAACAATGTTTTATCCTTGAATGCTTTATAAATACAAGAAGCTTCATAATTTACCATTAACTGACATTTGTAATCAAAACAAAGAAGTTATTTAAACAGTTAAAAATAAGTATTGAATAAAGAAAAATAATTATGTAAAAATAGTAACAATTAAACAAAAAAGAAAAAAACAATTATAACTATTGTTGAAGAATATTCTGAACGATTATATTTGAGAAGACATGCCATCTCCTTCCCCTTTCCCAGAATGCAACAGTACCTGTGGTGTTGTGCTGACAGCTGTTACAGACTCCACCTCCAGCACGGAAGTGTTCTCCAGGGACTGGGTCCAGGGTACTGTCGTAGTGACAGGAATCCGCATGGCCGTGACACTGGCACGGCCGGCAGTTATAGGCTTGAAACTGGTTTCCTCTTCTGAAGGGCTTGTCATTGAAGAGAGGCTTGCAGCGTTCACACTGGCAACGACACCGAAAACACAACCATCTGGTGACACCCAGTCAGCAAACGTCCAACAGAAACATTCAGGAAATAAGTCTGTACACAAAACTAGATGCTGTCAAGAACAATAACAATATATTCCCCAGATGGTCTCATCAACACCCTGCCTTCTAACCCTGAAGTCTCCAACACCCCCCAACCTCTACAATATCTATCCCCCCCTACACACTCTCCCCACTTCTGCAAAAATCTTCATTAAAAGCCCAGCTTTGTGTAACTTTCCTCAATATAATCAAGTACACCATATCAGCATCTGTGGCTGTCCTTTCAGGTGCCACCACTAAATGACAATTTTGAAATTAAATGAAAATGAGGCCCCAGATCGTCACCTACACAACGTTCACTGGGGGTGGCCATGGTCAGGCCCCAAAACCACATGTAAAACCAGGACACACACACTAAGGGCAATTCAGAGATGCAAAGGACCCTAAACCACATTTCTCTGGAGTGGATTAGCAGGCCAGAGTACCCACAGGAAACACACAACAGCCATATACACAGGGTCAGGGTAAGGACTGAACCCACAACCTTGGCGTGTGAGGCCACAGAACCAAGCCACCTACACAATCCTCATTCTTGTTACTCTAATCTAGTATGCATTTAACATCCCGCTCTCAATATAATTCTGTATCTCAAATGTTTAATTAATCACCTCGAGTTGTGGTGTACAATAAAAATTCCCCAAAGCGCGCGATTCCCTAGTGCCCCATCGCCACGCGGAGAGTCTCCCTGCTGTCCGAGGCTTTGTGATTCTGGGCCAGCTGCCCAGGGGGGACTGCTAATTTGTCCATCCGGCACGTTAGAGAATAATGAGAGATCACTGCGACTCAACGCGGCAGCAACTCGCCATCGAACAGCTGCATCAGAAGGGAGCGTACATTTATAGGGGCCATCAAATATCACCAGCGCCTCCTGCATCCCAAAACAGCAGGAGAACCCATAATATATAATAAAGAAAAAATCCCTCACTGCAAATTAATGAATGCATAAAGGACACAGCCATAACTCATCAGAAATGGCAGGTACTGTGTTAAAATTTGAGTCCTCCTCTACAGCTGAAATGAACCAGGAACTATGTAAAACCAGAATTACCTAGAAGAATCTTGAAAGTTTCTCCCATTACTTAATGAGGTACATCACGGACAGGATGCGGAAATGTTTCTAAGAGATTATTGCCAGTTAGGTCACATGATTAACAGAATCATATTCTTTGAATTGTTGTTCTTCTCATTATTAGATTCTTCATGGAAAAACACAACAGCAATTTGTGCCTCCTGTCTACTATGCCTATTAAAGGAGATAAAACAAGCTGCTAAATTGCCTGGTTAAGTACCCCATCTTGTTTAGTTTTCTACATGTCCTTCAAGTATTGCCTATGCATAATGCTTCTTGGAGCCATTCTCTTTTAATTAATGCATCATTTATTTGCGAGACAATAATAATGATAATGTAATAATTGCACAATAAACTGCACATTTAATTATCTGAAGAGAATGTGGTCCCGATGCATCGTGCAAGTGAAACTAAAACCCCATGTGTCTGATGCACTCATGATGCTACAGGGAAGGCTCTTCTCAAATCTCCTCTCCAACTCATAGCTGGTCTGCTGCCAGGTTGGCTCTGCTGTTGGCCATCGGTTGGTTGCCCTGTGATGTCCGGTGCCCACTGTGGGCCTCAGAGAAGGGTCTCTGGTGGAAGGCAGCCCAACGCACACTACACTCCCGAAAAACTGCCACCCCTTCCCATACCTGGAGAGGTCAGTTAGTCTATTAGTTGTATCAGGGAAGCCCTGGTTAACCTTAACCCTAACCCTATGCAAATACACTGTTAATAATAATAATGATAATAATAATGATAATAATAATAATAGATACTTTATTGATCCCCGTTTACAACTCCCCCAACTTGCTCTTTGTAGAGCAAGCTGTCCGTGAAGGGCAGCCACCTGTTGAGGCCTAACAAACAGGCCATAAACACCGGATATTTTCACTGATAATCGGGGAAGCAGACACAGAACACTACGCTGCTCAAATTAAGGCAAGAACACAGTGGTCTATGGTCAAACTATAGATCTACACAAACAGTAAGAAAGAAGCTTCTATGTCACTATTTTGATTCATATACAACATTGTGAAATCAATCTAATTATACAATTACTATTTAAATATTTGTACAGTTGCTTATTTGTCCTCCATTTAACATGTTGGAGTTTGTTGTAGCTGTGTGTTAATATAATCTGTTCTGCATCCTGTTTTTGACCAGTAAACCCAGAACCCAGACTGTGGGCAGGGCCTCATAGCACTATGAAATCAGCACATGGTCCACCTTAACGACGGCCCACTGTAAATCCCGCAGGATGAGCGCATGCACACGTGCAGGCGGGACACTCATCATCGTGACAGCTGTCAGGTGACTTCTGTTACCTTTATGTCACGGTGATGTTGGGGAACCGCACTACGTCCATCATTTCCCAGTGAAGGTTTTTTAATGGAGTCAGGGAAGTTAAATATTAAACACCTTTATCACTTGGTTTTTACCCTGGAAAATTTTCAGGGCCAGATGTGCACTTGGGGAAACACATTTGCATATACAAAAACAAACATACTGTACTCACCCCAAAGCCTCTATAGGCATGAAAATCAACAAATGGCTTGCCTATTTTAATTATTACAGTTAAAATTAAGTTACATAAATCGCAGGAAAGCATAAAGCAACCTTTTAATGACACATCGTGTCAAATGCAGGATTGGTGTTTGGCAAAGAATAGGAACGGTTGCTCCCCGGAGCCACATGATTCTGAAGTGTGACTAAATGTTGACAGGCTGCTAGGCGCAGTGGGGGGGGGGGGCACTGAGTGCGCAGATTTCACAGAAGGGTTTTGGGACTTAGAGGCCGGGGTCTGCCTGAGTCACAGTTAAGGACGCATTGCTTCTCTAGGGAAACTCAGAGTGTATGGCCTCCACCAGCCAGCCAGTCAGAAAGCTGAGGTCACCTGCTGGCAGTGCCACTGTGGCCGAGGGGGGTGAGGACGAGGCATTCCAAACTGCACCTGTTCACACACAGACTCATCACACAAACCAGTTGTCACTCCTGCACTTTATTCTACTGTCAGCTTGTTTCTGTATAATTTTTCTTTTCAATAGTTTGACTCTCTCGATATACGTTTACTTTAATATACCAGGGCTGTGGAGTCGGAGTCGGAGTCGAGGAGTCGGAGTCGGAGACAATTTTGGGTACCTGGCTTCCTAGCCAGTAGTTCTGCGGTGAAATGACATGTATGTTGCCTTCCTTTCCTTCAATGGATGTAGAAAATACATTAGCATAGTATATACATACAGAGGAGTCGGAGTCGGGGAGTCGGAAGATTTAGAAACTGAGGAGTCGGAGTCGGAGCATTTATCTACCGACTCCACAGCCCTGTAATATACAGTATAGTTTACTCCTGCAATGGGTTGGCACCCCATCCTGGGTTGTTCCCTGCCTTGTGCCCAAAGCCTCCAAGATAGGGTGGCGGGGGTCCACTGCCTGAATTGGACAAGCCTTTATAGAAAATGGATGGACAGATTAGTATAGTTTACTCATTTGTATATTGGTTTACATCTTTTATATATTATTTTCTTCATACTTGACTTCCAAAGCTGATGCAATACATCAACAGAATCATGTTCTGTGTGACACAATGATGCTAAAAACCTTTGAACTAGCACAGGAGCAAACACGTATGCATACATTGGATGCTCAGTGTCCAATGGGAACTTTTCAGGTGATGGGGGACCATTCTAATCAGCCAATGGGGTTGTGCAGGAAACAGGGGCCCTATGATGTGCGAGAGAGTAGCCGTTGGTTTAGTTTCACAGGCAGACTGTGTGCAGTCTACTTGAGGAGCAGAAACTGCCTCACTCACTCCTCATTCTTGACCCCTGTACTGAAAATGTAGAAAGCAGATCAAAGAAGTGTAGGAGGACATTCTGAGGTTTATTGAGTATTGGTAAAAAAAAGAGGAACCTCCGAGCTTTGAAACCAGTTGGAATTTCACCCAGGAAAGTGAAAACTGTAAAAGTGAAAACTAGATCCTTCTAGGTCTCACAGGGACAGTGAAATATGCATCATTTGCCACCTTTCTGTCCGTGTACTGTGCTTTATTTTCATGTTGGATGCGGCTACTCTCCCTTTCAGCCTGAACAACAACTACAACAGTGCAACAGTTTGCCTCAGCGAAAGCCTGATCTTAAGGTAAATAATGCATGTTCCCTTTTAAATAATTCAGCGCATCAAACACCGGGTTTAAAAGTTTAATCTGGGGACGCATCGCGTACACACCATGGTACCGAACGGCGCGACACAGAGCTGGGTCTAGGCGGCTACTTTAGAGAGTGAAAGTGAACTAGTTTGATAAGCATTGAAGCGTTGGAGCACATCAAATTCCAAAACTAAGAAGCACGCCATGCTCAGCTGATTACTAAGTGTTTAGTTACCAGAGGTGGAGATTCCAGAAGTCCAGATAGTATAAATCCAAACCAAGATTTTGTTTCAACCAACTACTTGAGTATAAAGAGTCAAGTATTAAACTGGTTGGTTGAAACAAAATCTTGGTCTGGATTTGTACTCTCTGGACCTGAAATCTCCACCTCTGTTAGTTACACACTGTAACAAGTTCAGTCTATCAGGTTGTAAAAGCCATTTAAAAAAAAAAAAAACGCTACTTCTGGAAGCATCCGAAGACAGCATCTGGGATAAACACAGCTCAGAGATGGCTACTGGAGCGGGCTAGTCGGCAGGAGAGGATCCAGCTGAGCTCTGTCATCACATCCTGCTCTGAGATATAATTACCCCAGCCGGATTAATTAGGACAACACCATGGGGCTGATGGGGTGGCAAGATTAAAGTGCCGTTGTGCACAAATCCACCCTCTCTTTCTTTTTTCCGCCCCCCAGCCCGCGGGAAATTTAAGAGCAAAGTGGGTGACAATTTATTCAAATTTCATTACGACTATTTTGGGTCCAGTGCTCATTAGGGGAACTTTTACACGTCATTAAAAGACTGTGGTTAATTAATAAGGGTGTTTCTCCTCGGGGACTCACGTTATCTCCTTCCGTGTGGCTCTCCGGAAGGCAGAGGCAGCGGTAGGGGCTGCGGCCTGTGTCACAGCGGTCTGCGTAGCCGTGACAGTCACACCTGCAAGCACCAAAAAACAAAAAAAAAACAACAACAACAAAGAAAAACTTAAAATGAAGCATGGCACCCCCGCACAGCCCCACAGTTGGTTTCACCCTGCACCGAGCTGATAGGAGCTTTCCCATTCATTTTTCATAAACGCCACGGAAAATGCAAAGCACTCAGGCAGACGTACAGCCTCCGTCAAGTGGCTTGTTTGGGTCAAACCCATCCGACCCATCCACCCCAAGCATATCTGACAAAAAGAAAAAAACATAAACAAAAAGGAAACCGCTGACCAAATACGGAAAAAGGACAAAAATGGGGGCTGAGATAGTGGATCGTGCCGTCACCGCTCACGGCTATTATAAAAGTGCAAATGTGAGCGTGAGGTCCACACTACCCCCTCCAGATGTAGCCTGATCTCAACCCCACGCACGCAGACCTTGACTCCCATCTTCACGGTGGTTCAAACCAACATTTCACAGCTTGGGAGATGTAGAGCTGCTTGCAGTCCCCTTTGTCTCAGACAGGGGGGGGGTGGCAGAGAGTAAGAAATTCCAAAGACCTTAAATCGGCATCTCTTTCCAGTGTTATGACTACTGCTTATTTAAAGCGGCTTATGTCTTCGCTAACAAAATGAAGGAAGGAATGACATCATTGCTCAGTGCATAACGCTGTGATTACCAAAGACATAAGAATCAGACTGCTTAACAAAGGGATGGGTACAGAGATACCACATTTATCTGCCAGAGTAACAAAAACTCAGAATTATAAGAGAACGAAGTATGGGCGGGGCATGCTCCAAAGTCAGATCATCAACGTTAACTAAGAGTTTAGCTGCCTGCATGCAACATACAGTAGGCGGAGTCGCGGTACACAGACCAGAAAGTAAAAGAATACAAGAATGAAACTGACGTAAATGTAACAAATGAATGAGAGACAAACTACACAAACACACAAGTTATTTGACTGATATATAAAATAAATTAACTTATGTCGGTCTCTGCTGTTGTCCTCGAACCTAAATAGCTATTCGATATTATATATTATATATTGTTTATATTATTTTTTCATTTAAGAGCTGACCAAGAATCCTTGTTTACTACAGATTCAGTCATTTCCAACAGTGAAACGAGTGATTAATGAACTAATTAAGGAACTTATGTTACCGCTAACCTCCCTCGACACATTAACTCTCCCAACAGTGAAGTCTATTTCCATATTGTTCTTTGTTAGCGATGGTGTGTGGCTCCGCGAATGAGGAGGCTGTGATCGGAAGGTCGCCAGTTCAAACCCCAGGGTCAGCTGAGTTGGGTCTCTGAGCAAAGCCCTTAAGCCCCAATCACTTTCTCAAAATATCTCAAAAATGTACATTGCTTTAGCGTCTGCTAAATAAGTAAATGATATTGAATAGTTATGTTTAAAGTTGTGGACACGTGCTTGTGAACACTGATAAGCGGGATTTTCACTCACCTGCCGCTGATGGTGATCTCGTGCACCCCGTAGTACCTGTGCCGCACAGGTACGTGGGGCTCCCGGGTATGGTACTGGCCCTGGAGATGGACCCTGACCTGGGAGGCCATGACGAACTCGCGCAGGGCCAGCGTATTGTAGAAGTCGCCGTAGCCCGGCCGTGGGTTGGGCTCTGGCGTCAGCACACTGAACGTGACGTTCCCGCGAGAGAAGGGGACGTCTCTGTGTAGGGGAGGGGGACACAGCGTGTCGGAGGGGACGACGATTCCACAGCACACACCGACGGCACCGTACTAAAAGCCACGGGGTGCATTTGGCCATTGCTGAAAGACTAAAAAGTATGATCACTGAAAGGGAGATTTTTAAATACAGTCAATGTACAATAAACTCCATTTGATAATACTACCAACAAACAGCAATCCAACATCACATACATATTTTGTTGTTTTGCTATTTTTGTTTTTATCTAAAGAGTCAGAGCCAGAACAGGGGGTGGAGGGCATGTTGGGGTGAGTGGGTGTTTGCAGCTTGTGTTTATAAAGCTGTGTCCCGCTCAGGCAGCGATGTGACGCCATGCGTGAGAAACCTCCCCCGGCAGTGGAGACCCCTTCCTGCTCCTCCCGGGAAAGCAGGTGTGCTGTCACTCCTGTATTATTCAATCATACCCCCACCCCCCAAAAAAAGCCACAAGCCTCAGGCCACCAGACTTATCCAGGCCAGGCCCTACATTATAAGTAATTAGACCCCCCCACCCACCCATCCCCAACATAACATTTACATCATACTCAAAAATTTATGCCACATAAACAGGCAGCCCCTTCCACATAACAATTTGCAAACCCCCTTTCTGCCAAACATCTGGTCAACCCCCAAACATCACTCCGAAGAGACCACATGTCAGCTGAATCTAAAACTTTCTTGTCTTTTAAGCACCTGATTGAAAATAATAATAAAAGTGTCTAAAAACCGCTCCAGAACATAAAACGCAACACAAATACACGTCAGTTTGAATTCATGCGGAAGAATGTTAAAATGAAATACAAGACAAACAGATTAAGCTAGGCAGGTGGCATTTAAATAGCAAAGGGCATTACCTGTGTCCCTCGTGTTTAGAAACATAAAACATTAAGCCAGACACATTCCAGTACCATATTCCCATGGGCAAGCGATCACTTTTCATTTCTTCACTAAGTGATCCCTTGGGAGAGAGGCAAGCAGAAACTGCGGAAAATCAGAGCCCTGGCACACAGCTCCACATCAATCCACAGTCATCAAGCCTGCCCTGCCATGCTGTGAGCGGACGGCACGCGGTGGGGGCCAAACAACACGGCGTGAGGCTCACACTGCTGATGACCCAGTAAGCGGATGGGGAAAAAGCTATTAGCACCATTGTTATCACGGGTGTCCTTATAGTTCAAAAGCAATCACAAGTAATGGTAGCGGTTAATGTTTCTGGGGGCGGGTGGGGTGGGGCTGGGATTATTGATGTGGCCACCCAGCCAAGCGATTCTTTCTCACTTATTCGAGTATAAATGTTGAAATGTAGTGATGCGGGAAAGATTCAATATGGGGTATCGAGCTCGACGCAGATAACAAGGACAGACGGCAATAACGTTTAGTCTGCAATTCAGAGATGAATAGTTACAGCTCCGCTAAAACACAAAACCCACTAACCCAGCTGAAATATGGGGGCAGCTTTCCCCTGGACTGCTTGTTTCTTATTATCCAAGTTGTAATGTTCTCTGCTAGAGTATTGCGCTGATGACATCATTAGCTAAATTGCCACAGTGCAAGACAGGCCCAAGTCCTGGTCTCCAAGGCCCAATGTCCAGCTCTCACAGAACTCAAAGATCCAAATAACTTGTGTTAAAATGAGCAAAGGACCTTTAAGGTCCAAATCTGTCTCTCCTGACCTCCACCTGATAAGCAGCAGCTCAGGGCCACCTCATCGTTATCCAAACCCAACCCCAATCTCTGTCTTGGTTCTAGTGTGCAAATAATTTTTTTCTGTAATTCTGTTTACATTCTGTAAAGTGGTTGTGTTAATCAGTGTTATGTTCCTAATCTCCATATGACTATTTCGGACCTTAAAATATGAAATATAATATCTCCTCAATAAATATATTTTAATGATTGATATTCATCGATTCACTGACGCCATGTCAGTGAATAAGAAAACTTCCAGTACGTAAATTTACCTGCCTCTCAAAAATATTTTATTTTGTAACTGTGACATATATAATATGAGGCCCCCGAGGATTTGACAGAATCTGAATTGTTACATCCTGTTGCACTGAATTTGGCAGGAGGGACACACTATTGTTACGCTTTCCCAGTGTTCCACCTCTCTTGAACCGTGAACTCTTGCATGTTTCTGAAGCCTCCCCCAGGCAGCCTTTCCCACGTCCGGTACAGACAGAGACATACCGGGGGAACTGCAGGCAGTTGACAGAATCCGGCCAGGCTAGCGGGCCGCTGTTCTCCATCCCAAAGATGGCGCAGTCCCTGGCCAGGTACTGCCAGTCCCGCCAAGCCGAGTCGCCACTCGTCCTCCTCTGAATCCTCACCGCTTCGGGCTGCGGGCCGAGGAACTGCAGAATGACATAGAAAACCTGCGGGGGAAGCGTGCAAATTGATAAAAGGGGAATATACATGAAATACTAAACAGCAATGGATAATCTATTATCTGCAGCGCTACAGTCGACGCTCCGCTGACACCTCAAGCGCCTTTGTGCAGCGAAGAGCGGCTTGAAACTCTAGCCGCCGCCGGGATCCAATTCCAAGGGGTTTGAGGAAGAGGGCGACGCTTCTGGCCGCTTAAACACTTCAAAACGTCGCAGTCCGTGGTTTTATCTGGGAGGCCGAGCGTCGTTGAAAGGAAGTGGAAAATCCACATGCGTGATTTCAGAACTTGCGAGCACACAAGAAAGGGGGGGGGGGGGGGGACTTCCCATCTGCTTTGGCGGACTTTGGTATGGCCGAACAGGCAGTGTTTCAGCACTCTAACGAAAGATTATCCCCTGCCACAGTTACACATGAGGAAATACACAAGCATTACACTGATGTGAAAATAAAAAAATAACGGTCTGGTATTCCAAAAGGCGTAGAGATTAAGTTGTCTCTTAAATAAGAGCTAATATTTAGGTGACACAGAATTTGATGATTTAGGTTTATTTAAGCAAGTCAACAGCTGCCCAAAAAGGATTTGAGCAACTGCCCACAAAGTCAAGATACAAGAAGAAAACTGTTCAAGCAAGTCAAATCCCAGCATGTCCCAAAAAGAGAAACCGTCACCAAGGGTGTATCCAAGTGGGCTAACCCAAAGATCAACATTTAGATCTAACGAAATTTAATAACCTACGAACAAAACATTAACACTTATTCAATAAGGCTAATCCCACAAAGTACAGAGCAGCTACTAGATGGAATGCCAGTCCATCACAGGAAAAACACAGAAGTATTATAAGGGCAATTTAGTTAGACCAATTCACCTAAACCACATTTTTCGGTACCTGGGGGAAACCAACACAAACACGAGGAAATCATAAAAGCTCAGAGTCAGGCCAGGAATAAATCCCACAACCCTGGCAGTGTGACCTCTGTGATACTCACTGAGCCACACAGCTGGCAACTACACAGAGTACAGTAGTGCTTTCAACTACTGCGTCGCGACCCAAAAGTGGGTGGCAAGACCATATCTAGCAGGTCATGGAGCATGTGGTTAAAAACAAACTTACTGTCACCCCCATATATAAGACTATATAGTCTTATAATAATTCAAATAAAATATGAGTTAAAAAAATAAATCAAGACAGTAGCACAGTCTTGGCAGTAGACAGAGCTGTAATAAAAAACTGCAGTAAAAATCAAGGAATCCATTAAGTTGTGCTTTTCAAACAATTCTGGAACAGTTAACATACTGTATGTACTATAATTAATCTGAGCCACATTTCTCCTCATGTTTGGGTGAAAAAGAAGGTCACTGTTTCATACCTACAGTTCCTTTAGGATATTTAGAAATGTTTCTTTAAATATGTATAACTGCAGACACTTAACCTTTTTGTCCGTCACTGTAAGACTAACTTAAGATACCTAATACATTTGTAAACTTAACGATTGTGAAGATACAAGTTACATCTCTACTGACTTTCAGCTTCTCATTGAGTAGCTGTTAATAATACATGGGCGATGATGTTCTGGTCTCATTTCCGAGATGGTTTACCTGGTACTCCCCGGTTTGCAGATCAAAGGTGATGCTGATACCCTCATCAAGCTGGTCCAGGCTGGTGAACACGGATGAGATCCAGCTGGTCCCGATGTCGTTGTCGTTGATGTAGTGGAGGGGGTGGGCATCACGGCTGAGCCTCAGGACCCGATTGTCAGTGGTGTCCTCCACGAGGTTGGGGATGCAGTACCTTTCCACCAGGGGGTGCACTCTGGGATGACTAGGGGGGCAGCGGCACTCTGGATGGGTATGAAGGTGTGGCAGATGGCCAGAGAACACCTCCACAATTTCTCTGAGTAGGAAAACAAGCATGACACAGACATATATGTCTTATAAGTTCTCATAAATCATTTGCTGTAAATAAGAGCATTGTTTTATTTCTTAAATGCTGTAAAAGACACCACAAACCTGTTTGTAAGTGTCACCGGATAAAATCTGAAATCCTGCATCCATCCAACGAATTGATTCATCCCTAGAAAAGAAATGTCAATGGCAATAATGGGAGACAGCTTGTATAGTCTACACTAACTACAGGATTAACTTATCAGTACCTTTGAATTCTGTTAAAGAGACACTTCTACGGCATCTGTCTTAATCTAAATCTTTCTTACAGATTTTGCTGTCCTGCAGGATAGAAGCCTGTGCTCAAACATTATCACCAATACACGGTTCCTTTGTTAGCCTGTAAGTTTATATTTTGCATCTGGATGGTTTCCGCAAACTCTTTTGAAATGAAGCAACAAATCAATGAAGTACCATCGTCCATCTATTTTACGTAACTGCTATCTGCTCCAGTGAGCCTGCAGCTTATTCCAGGAAGCATGGAACACACTAAGGGCAATTTAGGGATACTTTAACTGCATGTCTTTGAACTACTGGAGGAAACTAGAGAACAAGCAAACTCTGCACACACAAAGCTGGCCGTATGAATCGAACCCGCAACCCGGGAGGTGTGCATTCACCCACTGAGCCTCGATGCCGCCCCCTTAAGCACTAGACAGGTTAACATTACAACACAACAGTAAGCCATCAAACTGTTCAGCGGGGCAGACTGTTACCACTCAATTGCCTGATTGGCTTCCTGCTGCAAACAAAAAAAAAAAAGGTTGATGGCTTTATGACAGGATCAGGGAAGAAAGATCATTTCATCTCCTGCATAGAGAGCACACTGGGATGCGGATGAAGGGGATCCATGTGAGTTCAGAGTGTGGGGGCCCCTCTGAACGGCGGTGCCGCGCCACAGATCAGTGCACTCCTCCGCTCCTCTACAGATTTGCGGCTCTCGGAGATGCAAGTTCTCATCGCCAATGCCAAGCTTCCCCCCCCCCCAAACATCTGGGAGACAGAGACATCAAAACAAGGCAATCAAGAGCCCCAGGCCTTGGATCTGGACTTCTTTTGCATGTTAAAAGGATTACACCAGCTGAAACTTTTGTTGCTGTGATGATACGACATGTTTTGTCCTGTCCAGCTCTTAAAAAAAAAAAAAAGTTTCTCTGTCATTTTAACTTTATCCATTCTCCAAATTTGAATCACTTTGCCTTCAGGACTTAAGTGGGAGTGTAAAGGTAATAACTGATGAGAGAGATTTAATGTTAGAAGAATAAACCATAAAGTGAAGGAGGGCCAATTCTCACATGCACAGATTTTAAGCTACTTGCTGCAATAAAGAGTTACGTTTGCTAACACAAGAACTCCTGCAGTTTAAGATGAGCAGTGCAAAAAGACCCTATAGTGGGTAAGCAGTTATAGATAAAGGATGGAACATTTATAGTTTTATATAGCGGAATTGAATTGGTTTTTACTGCAGTTTTATTTACTTTACGCTGTCAAAAGAAAATCATTAGGGGACCGGGCAATAAATCATAATGAAATTACTGTTTGAGCCAGTGTCCTGCCAATGCTTCACTAAACTTAAAACAAAAGCATACATAATAACAGCAGGAACCGTGACTCTACATAGTACAAGCAGTAATGGAAAATGGACGGATGGAATTCAGCCAGCAGTATATAACTATACATGTTTATATTGACATTATGTATATTCATATACAGAAGATGTTCTAAGCCATACTACAGAACCAAAATGTAACAAATAACATCAAGTCACCTTTGGCAATGCATCTACAATTCACATATTTGATCTTTATGAGGTCTTACCAGCGGTGCTCTGTCCGATCCGCATGACAGCGCCAGTCCCGACGTCCGCTATGGGTCCTTCCAGAGTCTGAGTATCAAACGGCGTGCCATCGTCCTCCAGCCCATTGAAGAAGAGGCTGGCGCTCACACCGTGTACCTTGCAACAAGACACAAGGCAGCAGTCTCCATATATAGCAGGTAAACAAAGCCCTAGGCACAGGGTGACAGAAGGGCAGTGACTGAGAGACATGCACCCAGGCTTTGGTCTGAGCAAAGTAAGCAAATCTTTTACTTTTTTTCAGCAGGCACTTCTGTCCAACACGTCCAAACCAAGGACCAGAGATCAGACTCAGCCAGTGCTCCTGGAGCAATTGGGGTTAAGTGCCTTGCTTGAGGGTCCAGTGGCAAAATCACTACCAAGGGACCGTGGCAAACTTATGGAGTGAACCAGATACAATATTTCCATTTTGAACAACTTAGCATGTTTCATTTATTTGAAAATTGCCACCAGATCAGAACAAGAACGCAAAACCAGCACATACAGAGCCTGATACTTTCTTTTTCAAATGTGTCACTTCTCAACTATGCCAACTGAACAAAAACCATTTTCATATTACTTAACTATATATTTTTATTTTTTCATTTTTACACAGAGCATTAGGGGTGTCTGTAGGATTTTCTAAGGTGGGGGGCATGAGGGGCCAAAGCTCATATAGCATACACCCTATGGCCCCATCCATGTATGCACCTTGTGGCATGTAATATGTGAACACTGCCCAAATGACTGCACAAATCACACCCACACAATGTCACAGAACAAAATCTAACTGGCACAGAGTGACAGGAAGTGTGGGAAATGTCGCTCGATTGCATCTTAAATTTGTGGCATCCCAAAAAGTTGAAATGGGTTTTTACTATATAAAATCCCAATTAAAATAAAATCCTTTTGGATCCAGAGGCTATATATAACCTGAAACCTATGACACATCAAGCACAGTTTCTTAACTCAGGGTAAGCTGTATACTGATGACCATGGTTATGACAATGGCAAGAAAATAGTATTTATACAACTATTTATGAAGTAATTATGAATGTTTATTTCCCATAATCAGATTTCTTTGCCACTTGACACTTTTGACAATGGCCCACAATGGGAGAAGCATTGGCTGCAAAACAATGGTCACTTTACAGTAATCTGACCAATTAAGACAAAATCGTTATTCAGAAAAAAAGGCTGATATCCAGGGGTCTACAGTTTAACTCAGGTGATTGGCAAACTACACAAACAACCTAAATCAGAACGGCAACCACCCATCCAAAAGCTCGACCCCGTTTACAGGCCTAAGAGTTAATACGCTGTTCCTATGGAGCCAGTCCGCTGTGTTCCGCCCCGTGCAGATAAAGTCCCCCCTAACAGATTCACATTTGTATGTTCCATCGCAGCTGCCTTTTAGAAGTTAAAAGGTGCTTGGAAATGAGTCTACCGAAAATTCCTTTAAGATGAAGGCAGCGAGGAGACGACTGTCTGTCTGGAGGATACTTAAGCCGCAGACTTTCATGACGGCTGATTGAAGACTGCAGAGACCACTCTTGGAATCCCTAACCAGCCAATGACTCGCTGCATGAGATCTGAAGCCACGTCAGAGTGATGTAAATGAAATCCGAAGCGCTTCACCCTGCTTAGTTTCCGCTCGACCCTTTGAAATCGGGCCGGCGCTCCATTGTCAGTTTTTGGCAGTGTGTATTCCACCACCACCCCCACCCCCCCATCTACCCTGTATTGCTGCTGTGGGTTTTTTTAAGTGTTTTTTTTTTTTAAGAACATCCACTGTTCTCTCACTGTCGCCTGTCTGATGGTGACAAACTGCCTTATGAGGACAATAGGAGCTAAGAGAGGAGTTCCAATCAAATCAGGAGAACAATCACATGGCCCGATAAATAAATAATGCCTTTGATCCCCAATTACTAAACATAAAGATGTACTCTTTCGTTCACCCAGTTTTGATATGGAAATACCAAAACGACAAATTAAGTGCCCCGAGGTGGCGTGGGTCTCTCTTTCTCCCCTGCTCTGTACCCCACCCTGCCTGAGAAAGGGTCCAGGGGTGAGGGGGCATCTGTCACTATTTCACGACTGACCAGTTGGCGCGCACTGCACTACTAGCGAAGCAGTTAGAAGATCGATGGATGGATGGAACACACAGAACTTGGCAGAAACAATAAATTAATAAGGTCTGCATTCCAACAGGAGGTGCATTACACCTTTCCAGCTGTCCTTTGATTGGGTTTGCTGCGTTTCCCCTAATAATGGGTCTACTGCACACGACATGCGAGCAGCCTCAGGCTCCCACATCCAGCAGCTGAAGGAGTGCCTTTCCAGCGAACCGGCTGCTACACAGGCGCCCCCTACAAGCCTGTCATATGCTTACAGGCGGGCAGCTGGCAGCGGTGCCAAGCACATCCTTCCCCCAGCCTCGGGATCTCCCGCAAGGCGCTGTTCAACCTGTGGCATCGGGAGAAGAGGCGATCGCCTTGCCAGAGACGACGCTGCGGTGCCACAGGCACCATGAGGGCTGGGCATACTGCTTCTGGATAGTAATAAAGGCTGACGTTACCCAGTCACACTGACTTTGAAGCTTAACACTGCTCATAAAAAGGACACCTTTAATAAATACTTTTAATATTAAGCTTCTGCTTGAACATTCACTTTGTTAGCGAGGCAGAAAAAATTAAGAGCTTTTTTCGTTACATCTAATGTTGTTTAAGGTAAGGACTGGCACTGTGAAAGGATATCTGACAAAGAATTCATTGCGGTATTGTAATTAAGAAATATCTTTTCCAAACTCCATTGGTTGCAGAGAAAGGGATTAACAGGCTTCCTCCGCTGAGGAAACTTTTTCATTTCCACTCATCCATCCATCCATGCATCCATCCAATCAATTCCTGTATCTGCTTATCCGATTTAGGGTCGCAGGGGGTCTGAAGCCTATCTCAGAGGCTACAGGCACAAGACAGGGAACAACCCAGGATGGGACACAAAGCCATCGCAGGGTACCTAGTTCAGTGGGTTTTTTTGTAGGCTTCTATGAGATAGATGAGAGAGAAATTGACTGATATTTTTGGCTGAAAAATCGTTGCATTTCAATGGACAATTTCAGTGTAGTTTTTGAAGGAATGGCATAGGTTGGCGGGAAAAAGAGTAAGACATATATTTTCGTGAAACATTATTATTTAAAAGTGACATTTTCGGACAGAGAAATGATATTTCCACCTGTCAATTTGTTTACCTGCCTGTAACTACTAGCATCCAAACATCCTCCAACTGCTTGGTGGGTGGTGGGGAGTTGTGAAGCTCACCACAGGCAGCACTGAGGTCAAGACAGGGGTAACACCCTGGATGGGGTGCCAGTCCATGGCAGGGCATATGCACACACACTTACGCACAATGGCCAATTCGGAGACACCAATGAGCTTAACTGCATGTCTTTGAACAGCAGGAAGAAACAAGAGCACCTGGAAGAAACCCACACACACAGAGAAGTCAAGATTAGAAGCCCCAAACCTGGAGGTGTGAGAGGACAGTGCAGCCCACTAAGCCAGTGTGCCAGCCAAACACCCATCAAGGAAACAAATTAAGAAAACAAAAGTGGCATCTATACACAGCACATCAGATTTTAAATTGAATCAAAATGCAAAGACATGCAGAAATAAGGAAGGAAAGGGTGCAGACAGAATACTTAATGTATGTCACAGATCTTAAAGATTCCCTCAGACAGGTGTATATGTGTGCGTGTAGTTATAAGGTTACGAAGCAGGAGAGAGGTGTGTCTCAAAGCGAAGCAAAAAATAAATAAAGACCAGATGACTGCCTGGCCACTGTCCTAGGAAAGCTTTTAGTAACCTGCCGCTGACATTTTAAAAGCCATTCTCAGCTTTCAAAGTGATAAAACAGCAGCTCTGGCCAGGAGAGGCTTTTCTAGAACATTCCACATGCGCCACAAATTTGTTTAACTGCTAACATAACACTCATTAGTAAATAAATTTTGTCACAAACAGACACCGATGGTAATAGAGTGGCATGCTTTATCTGGTGGATGGTGAGGACCGTTCATCATTCGTTTAACTCATAAAACAAAGACATGCAAAGTCATAAATAAACTAAGTGGCAAATAAACTCTCACACACACAAAAACTAGTGACTATCATTTGCAGTGGCAGCATGATACTTAATAATGAGGTTTTGCCAGCGACAGATACATCTGTTGCTTTCGGAAACTCCAGGCAGCTAAGACAGGCGTGAGAAGTTATGCAGAAATTATAGACACATAGAGAACTCTGTGTTTACGCCACACTGGCTGCACTGGGGTAGACTGTCAGATCACCGCCCTTTAGATACTCAGTAATACTGGCTGCAACTTCCATATGTTTAAACATCATCACATGTTGGGGGAGGTGTACTGGGAAACCTTCAGCAGCAGGTCAGATATTTGGTGGTCTGCCATAAGTAACATATATATACCCAGTACGACATCAGTTCCATCTCCTGTTGTTTCACTACTCCCCATTTATCATTTCTGAAACGAAGGATATTTCCTTGTACTGAAGCAAACCTATTAAAAAAAAATCAATAGGAAATTTCAATTTCGTATTAAAACAAACCCAGATGAAAAGATGTCCTTAAGAGGCTGTCACCGCCTGTTCATGGCACTTGTCAGTAGGGCTGGGCGATATCATATTGGTATTATATCGCGCATGCGCAATAATCACCAGGGCTTCAGATGACAGACGAATCATTTGGCGGGACACCAGCTTTTCGGTGCTATACAGTCATTTATTCACGCCGATAATTTGGTAAGAAGATTAGTAGTATGGCTTAGATATTAATGAGATGCGTTTTGTGATACCCAAAAGTTAGTAATCTGTATAAACTTTGTGTTTCTTAAATTCGACTAGCGGAGCACCCCACATAATACTGTTTTGGTATACTACAGTTTGGTATACTTCAGTGTGATATGCAGACTAGCGGAGCACCCCACATAATACTGTTTTGGTATACTACAGTTTGGTATACTACGGTTTGGTATACTACAGTTTGGTATACCTCAGTGCAATATGCACTGAAGTCGCGGTGAAGAAGAGCAGCCACAACATCTTTTA